CATTTAAATCTTCTTATGCTACCAAATTATCAATTCTGTTCCTTAGGTTTTACATAATCTTAATATGTGGTGTGCAAAAGATAAATCATTGACTTACGATGAGGCTAAAACAGATGCCAGCAGAGCCAAAAAGGATATCAAACTGGTAAGTGTAAAATACTGGATTGGCTTTTACTGTCATATTCTGATATAATCGCTAGGCTTTGTAAGCATCTTCTGAACTAAAGCACTGATAACCAAGGTGCAGGGAGCTCTCAAACTTGCCGCAGAGAGTTGAAGAGCAGTGTGTCCAGGACTGAGGGTATATTGTGACGAACTGGTCTCTTACATAAGATGCAATTATGAAGCTCACATTCCTCATCCCGAGTCCTGTATTTAGGAGATAACGCTCATACTAGCAGCAGTAAAACTCAATTCTTGAAACTGGTGAAGTGCTAGGAAGGAAATACTGAACACTGAACTTGTACTGATGGGTCCAGATATCGCTGGGTACCATTGCTGCAGTGATCTTGACGATACTGTGCTGTAGCTTACTGTTTGTGTTGACCTGCAACCCACTGACTTCTTGAAATGTCATTTACTTAGGGCCCTTTTGATGTTGTCCGGAAGGTTTTTGCTTCTGGAGAGGAGGCTTCTCGTATGTCTCTTATAGACAAGTCGGATCTTTTCTTCCATGATTATTCCCTAGCACCTCTGTTTGTCCAGGAGAACTATGTGCATGTGAAACCAGCCGCTGCTGGGTGAGTTATTCCATACCCTAAACTGACACAGGCTTTTGTGTCGGGGAGTAAAGCTAGACTAAAACCTGTCTGGATACTTCTGCTTTGTAATACAGTCAGCTCTTGTTTTTTTTTTTCCAGAGGAAATCTGAAGAAGCACTTGGTGCTCTTGAGTAGAGCAGCTGACAGTATATGTGATGGTGACATAGTGGACAAACAGATTCGTAGCAAGCAAAACTGGAACCTTCTTCCAACACAGGTGAGCACTTGACACTCCTTTTATGTGCTTTATGGGTGTCCAGTGTAAAAAGCTGATCCCTTGAAATGGATGTTTCAGGGTAATTTATGACCTGTATAGTTCATACTTCACGTAGTATTCTCTGTTCTGCTGGTGAATAGAGTAGTTCCCATATTCATATTGTTGAACCTAGGCTGTATCATGAAATTAAGTCGTCTGAAACTTGGAAAAGCTTGACCCTTCTTTATGAAGCACAGGAGCACGTGGCACGTATCGCCTCTGACGTGCAGTTACCAGCCTGCTCAGTTTTATTTCTGTGCTTCCTATGCCAGCCTCTCCCCAGGCCAGTATTTCTCCCAAAGCACAGAGGACCGAAGCTTTGTCACTGCACTTCTTTTAATGATACTGAAACATTGTCAAGTCTTGTGCTTAGAGGATTGACTGGCATCAGAGAATGTACTGTAGATGAAGTTGGAAGGGACCTCTGGGAGGTCATCTAGTCCCTGCCCCTGCTTGGTGCAGGTTCAAACAGATACATTGCTTAGGAACTTGCCTAGCTGAGCTTCTGTAGCTGCGTGGTGGTTTCGGAAATGTCTCCTTCACCCGGCCCATCCGCTGGAGACTGCAGCGCTTGTCTGTGTGAAGTCAGCTGGTTGTCTGACTGCACTCTAAAATGAGAAACAAACAGGCGGCTTTTTTTTTTTTTTTTTTTATTTTCCACCTTTTTATTTTTAATGGCTTTTAACCCAGGTAATTTCACAGATATTTTAGAGCATTGTAACAAATAGGGTTGTACAAGAGATGAAGCTGTAACCTAAAAGGGGTCGAACAGAAACAAGCAATCAAGAAAGAGTTCTCTTAAAATGAGCTGTTTCCGCTGTGGAGCTGTACTGACCCCCCCTTTCACGTGACAAGTAGGGCAGCATGTCATGGTGTCAGTGAGACTAATTCACCGTGGCTTGCGTTTGGCATGTGTGTTACTTTTGCAGGCTATTTATGCAAGTGTTCTCCCTGGGGAGCTGATGAGAGGTTACATGTCCCAGTTTCCTGTCTTTCCCAGCTGGCTGGGGAAATTTTCATCCACAGGCAAACACGATCGTATCGTTCAAGAACTGGCAATGCACATGAGTCTCAGGTACTACTGACATTCCTCTTCTGGCTTATATCGACACGGATATTTAGTTCTCGGGTGGGTCACTACCTCCCGTTAGTTCCCTGCCATGCTTGGTGCAAACTTAAGAGTATATTCTGTGAATATCCTCGTGTGGTGTTGGTGACACCTTAGCACTTAACCTGGACAGCAGTCAGACTGCAAACACTAGCAGTGTAAGTCGGAAGTACTGTGACTTTTGTTTTTTTTCCCCCTGAAGTTGTTTCTCAGTCAGGGACGTGTTTTCCCCAGAGCGGTCGGTGTCGGGACCCCTCGTGCTGGGTGATCCCTGCTGGGGGTACGGCAAAAGGAGTGGCCCACTGCAACTGGCACTTCACTCTTAAGGCAGCTGGTTATTCATTCGCTGAGGGCCTACCTACGGGTTGCTTGTGTTTACAAGTGAGTGGTGGTGGTTGTACAGATTTACTTACTCCTTCCCCTTTGACAAAGGACCCAGGTGTGCAAGAGGACAGTAAATATGGAGTATTTGTCGTATTTGCGGGATGCGCTTGTCCAGCCCTTGAAAGACTTTGGAGCAGATGGCGTACAAGAAGCTATAACATTTATGGACTCTTACTGCTTGATGAAAGAAGATGTTGACAATATAATGGAAATAAGCACATGGGGAGGCAAACCCAGTCCGTTTTCAAAGCTGGATCCCAAGGTAAAAATCACTAGTGAGTTTTTCCCCTTTTTCCATATCTTTAGGAGGAAATCCTAAAATAGCAGCTGTGGTATGGATGTGCTTGAAGTTGGTGCAGCTGCGAAAGAGTAATTTTATTAACCATAATTTAATCAATGGTGGTCTTTAAATCGGCTGTCAGACATACTACTGAAGGTTTTAGGGGTATGTCCTACCAGCTGGTCGGGCTGTGCTTGGTTCAGCAGTCTTGCCTTACCCCTGTTGTTCCTGGTGTGAAGGATCCCTGGGAGTCGGCTGTGCCGGGGGGTGGAAGGGGAACACCGAAGGGCCGGGGCAAGCCGGTGCCTTTCTGCGAGCTCCTGGCTGTGGGCTGCGTCACCTTGGTGCACAGCACTGCCGTCCTTACCGCCGTGCAGAGGAGGAGGGAGGCACAGCTGCACCTGTCGGGGTGCGGGCGGGGGGATTCGGGGGCTGGCCTGCAGCTGGCCCCTTTCACAGCCCGGTCAGACTGAGCTGCTGGAGCGGGGGCGCTCGGTGTGCCGCTCCTCCGGGATCCGGCTAGTCGGCCTCAGTGGCTGGGACCCTTGGCGGGTACAACGTGAGCGGAAGCTCAGGGCCCTGCTACAGACAAGGCAGGTGTGAGGGCTGAAGGTGATCTCCCCCAGCCCAGGCCCGGTGCTCGGGGAAGGAGAAAAGTCTCTGCTGCCCTGATGTGGCAGGTGGTCGGTGCTGCCGAGGGCGGGCGGCTCTGGTGTGAGTGACTTGGATTGGGTGGCAGCGGAACAGTGCTGAAATTATTGGAGGCCTAAGTGAGAAGCATCTGAAGATGCACCCTCTGCCTGAGGGTTGTGTTGGACTCACTTAAAATGAGCCTTCAGTGTACAGCTCTTAAGTGCTTTCTGTGTCCTTCTGAGATAGCGTCCTCTTCTACGTACCTTTGGTTACGTCTTCCCAAAGGAAAGATGATGTGGCCTCTCCAGCTGAGAGCTGGTTAGCTAACAACCTGCAGTTCCTAAGCTGACGCTGATAGCATTTCCTTCCAACCTAACAGGTCAAATCAGCCTTTACGCGGGCCTACAACAAGGAGGCACATCTGACTCCATATTCACTTAATTCAGTCAAGGCATCTAAAAGGCAGTCGGGCTCTGTGGCGACCTTAGAACTGAATGAAGACTTGAATGTGGAAGACATCCAGTCTGATGAGGATGAGCAAGATACTGTTGAAAGTGATGCAATGATTAAGGTGACTTAAGTTTCTGCAGTGTTAAACTACCACACTAAACTTGCCTCTTAGTTACCTTTCTGGGACTTGCAACGTGTGAATTAAAAAAAAAAAAAAAAAGTAAATACAGAATACTTCATCTCTCACTTTTAAATTCCTAACTAGTAGTATTGTGAAAAAGTCTTAAGTAATTTCCATCCCTGGTCTTCTGCCTGAATGTTGGACCAAAGCGAGGCGTCACTGTGAACTGGGGCACACTGCACCCAGCTCCCGGGGGGGGGCTGGGGGTGGAGCAGCCTTGGGCCTTGGCCTGCGGTTGGGGACCTGAAAGGGGAGGGCAAGAGAAGAGAAACCTGAAAGGGGAGGGCAAGAGAAGAGAAACCTGAAAGGGGAGGGCAAGAGAAGAGAAACCTGAAAGGGGAGGGCAAGAGAAGAGAAACCTGAAAGGGGAGGGCAAGAGAAGAGAAACCTGAAAGGGGAGGGCAAGAGAAGAGAAACCTGAAAGGGGAGGGCAAGAGAAGAGAAACCTGAAAGGGGAGGGCAAGAGAAGAGGTGGATTTTTCTTTTACCACTGACTGTGTTTTGACTTAGGCTTTTGTCAGGTTGCAGTTGGATTTTAAACTGTATATTCTGTTTGTAGCAAAAAAAGGTGAAGTCTTCCAAGCTGCCCAAAAGAGAGAAAAATGAAGAAACAACAAAAAAAGAAGGGAAAAGAAAAGATAAAACAAGGCGTTAAACAGAATAAAATCTTGCTTTGAATGCAGCTTTGCTTATCTAACGTCTGGCTGGAACATGAAACAGATCCAGTGCTGGAGCCGGGAAGGTAGAACCAGTGCGTTGAAAATGCTCCTCTCATAGAGGTGAGGTAGCTGCTGTACTCACACTATGCCACGCCCTACTTACTCACTCCTAACGTGCTACAGCATTACCACATATAAATACCCTTGTGCAACAAACAGGGGGGTGCATGAATACCATGAAAGTGGGATGCTTTGTTACTTGGAATTTATGCTAAGTCTTCCTAGGAGTTTTTTTTTGTTTTTTTTTTTTTTTTCTTTAATAAATGCCCTGATATTCTGCTGAACTCTTGTAAATAATCCATGATGCAACCCCCCCCCCCCCCCCAAACCAAAATTGCGTATTTGTACATTATAGAAATTAAGCAGTGTATAAAATGACAATAAAATGTTTCACAGGAGCCTTTTTAAAGTTTTGGTTAAGTTCGTGAAGTGTTCTGTCTGTCTCCCTCTCTTTGCTTCCAAGGTTTGGGTTTTCCTTCAGTACAGGCTCTGGTGTTATTCTTTTCCTACAACTTCTCTTTTGGTCAGTTAGAGACACAGAAACCAGTGAGGGATTGAGTTCCAAAATGTGAGGAGCCTGTGCTTGTATGAGCTGTATTGTTAAGTATTCCCTTCTGGTGTTCATTAAAGGTAAGAAATGTTTAATAGAAAATAGTGATAAATGTTCAGAACTGATGTTGAAAAAGAGAACACTGGGCTGGCTGCTTTGCCACTCCCGTAACCCAGAACGCCCCTTGGTTTGGCTTTGGCGTAGATAAAATGCAAATTTTGCTTGGTAAGAATTATCAATCAGTTTTTTTATTACTATAATAAATCAAAGTACAAAATTTATCAAAAGGTAAATATTTACAGACTATCACAAAATAGAAGTGACATGGTGGTGGTTATTACATGTCTTTTCCCCACTAGGATTTAATGCAGTGATGGAGCTGTCCTTGCTGCGTGCCAGACAACGCAGGCAGTTCTGAAAATAAACAGAGCAGGTTAGTCGTCTCCCAAGACAGCAGTTCTGTGATGCAAACTACAAGGTTTTCTCAGATCAGAAAAAAAAAAACCCCTAACAAACCTCAAGGTTATTGTGGTGTATATATAATACTCCTTGTGTGTTACTTTGACCTACAGTTAAGTTTTCACATAAGGGGTGCAGATGTCAAAATTAATGAGGAACTTTGTTAACTCACTTTCAGTTACCGTTTCTTTAACAAATCCGTAAGTCTTGGACTCTTAAGTGTGTGGTATAGACAGTCTCATTCTTAGAACTATGAGTCTTTCAAGCCAATACTCTGTGGCTGTTATCCTGTGATCTATTCTAGGCCGATAACCCCAGAAGCTGAGATCACATAACCTGTGTTTTCTTAGATCTGCTCCCTCCAGGTAGCATCTCTCTCTTCCTACACTTAGTTGGCAGATCTGCAGGTGGATTTGATGATGCTGAGATTTCTCTGTCACTAAAGCACAACTGGTGCTCAGGACCAGTTTCAAACCAGAACGTGGTGCCGATGATGGTGTGATCGTAGAAGTAACCTGGTTTAAAGCCTCACAACTGGACTGATGTAGCCACCAGGTTAGTTGCAGCAGCAAAATCTATTGGTGTTGGCAGGCCTGAGGGCACGGCTGGGTCTTGGTGACCTGAGGCACAGCCCCAGGCTCTGAGTTACGGCATTTCCCTCGCTGGGAAAAACACCTGATGTTCTCTGGAATGAGCCCTGTTAAGTAAAAATACAGGCTCTAGCACATACCTGAATTTATTGGTCCCCATCTTCTGGTCTGAGGTACTGTGTGCAATCATTTATTTTCTTAAGATGAACGACGTTAATCCTTTCAGAACACATTGGACATACGTTTTCAGTCTGCAACATGCTGTTTTAAAAGAAGGGTGACTGGTCAAATAAGGATTTCAACGTTTTTCAAAGGAACAGCTGGGCCTGAGGCAGAAAACATTAGAGCAAAGTTCTGACCTGTGCTCTGTAACAAATACAGGCCGGAGCAAGGGCTGCTTCTGCCTAGGTGGAGTGAGGGTTGGTCTGTTTGTTTTTAACCTTTTAGAACAACCACCTCACCAGGAAGACTGATGCTGTTTGCATGGGCATGAGGAAAATTTGGCAGAGGAGTTTGGGCTAGAACCTGGGTTTGTGCAGCTTCCCTGCTCCTGACAGAGGTGATTAGTGCTGCCCCAGTCCGTACCCGACGCTGTGTATTTTGTTTGCTTTGGTGACTGCTGCTGTGCCTGGGGTGCCCCCCAGCCCCCCTATCAGGCTGCCTTCCTGGGAGGAGCCTGAGAACTTACACCCCCACCCCTCCATTTTCATTCCTGTTCCCGTTGGAGCCCCGTGTCTCTGGCACAGTTCCTCCGTTATCGTAGTTTTTGGTCGACACTGAAGCGATGTTCTGTGAGTACATTACATGAAACTACCAAGTAAGGGGGATTCCTCTTCCACCCTTCCCTCCCAGCTGTTACACAGTTTAGCACCAAATGAAGCAGTTTGCTAAAATACGAACAAACGCTGGAATCCTGCAGTAGCACAAAAATCCCAACTTACCTTTTGAATTCCGAGTAGAGGGCAGGAAAGTCACAGTGTGGGCAGACTGTCCAGTCATCCCGTACCATGTGTCGCCCCTGCGTGCAAAAGTGCAGGTAATGAAATGGCAAGTGCTGCCCTCGTACCCCGGGCACTGAGGTTTGTACCTCTTGTTGTGAGAAAGTCTCAGCAACTGACTTCGAAAGATCTTGAGGAATTGAAAACCCCAAACTGTGTTAAACTGTAGTTTGATTACTGTGTAAATTTGGTAATGAGAGAAGACGCTTTCAACGAGATACAGTGTTTTCATTATAATTTGCATTCCTCTTAAAAAAGAAATCTAAGAATGTATTGAATTATAACTTTAAAAAATTCTTTTAGTTTGTCAACTCTAGACTGTTAGCTGTAGATCAATGTCTAGAGATGTACGTAAATCCGCTGGGATTTTCAGTGTTGCATCTGTCATTCAAAAAATGTCCCCAAAGCGCCATCACCTGAGCCCAGGAGGTGGCATTCAACACTGTTGAGTCTGTGAGCACAGGGACTGCTTGGAACTCACCTCTTTCAACAGAAATGAGTTCTGCTTTTTTAGGGTGCTGTACTAATTTGCTTTTGATAGAGAAAATTCATATGTACATTTTTAATACTATAAAAATGCAACAGCACCTTGAACTACGTTGAGAGATCCATGCGCTGACAGGATATGCAACAGCAGACTGTTTTGACACTGACTATCATAAGATATTTGGAAGTGCTGCACTTCTAATGATGTTACAAATACCTGTGATGTAAATGAGCTATAACCAAGATGGAACCTAAATAAGTGATATGAAATACACATGACTAGGTATGTTATATTTGGCTTATAAAGCTGTAGTTAAAAGCCTTCGTTTTTTTCCTTAAGACAATACTTCTAAAATACACTGGTCATCTTACTCTGCTAAAACAATAGAGCAAACAGATAGAAAATTGCTATTAATATTTTTTTGTAACAATCCTTTAGTTTTAATAAAGAACATTAACTCCACCATTTGATTCCTGCTCAAGTAAGATTTGATTTTTCTGTAGTTCTAGTGTGACAAATCGCTTGGATCTAGGAAAAAATAAAGCGTCAGTTATACAGTAGCTAAAGAGTCTGTACTGATGCTGGTACCAGTGGGATGCGCGGCTCTTCCACTGGGAAATGCACCCCATCCCTACCTTTTCAGTACATTCTGAAGTATCCTGAGACAAAAACGTTACAACTTCTCACTTCTGTAAGGGTCGGTAATGTAAGAAATGCTGCGGTCGGTCCCTGGCTGAACCATTACTTTACCTGGAAGTGCCTAAAAATTCTGTTACATTCTGGGCGTTCCCCAAAACAGGTTTTTGAAGTGGGGTTTCTGGTGGGTGTTTTTGTTGTTTGTTTTGTTTTGTTTTTGTTTAAAAACATCTTCCTTTCACTTGAAGTCTTGGCAGCCTGGAGTTCGGGGGAGGAGGAGGGCTGTGCCCTCCCAAGCTGCCGTACACGGGAGGAGACGGGGGCCCTTCCCTCCGCTGTTACTGCCCCGAGCCCTGGCGCAGGAGGGCACCGGCACCAGCAGCGCCTCCTCTCTGGCCGTTCTCCCAGGGGCACCCACAGCACCCCGCGCCTGTGCCGCGTGTGCCCGGTGCACAGCTGCCTCCTCAGGAAGCTGAAGGCTCCCAGAACTGCTTCGTGATTTTACCGTCACCTTTAAGTGCCTGCAGCTTGCAGGTGGCTACTAAGGACACTCTAGGATAGCTAAAGACAACAGGAATGTTTTTTACTTACTTGGTAACAGCTTGGAAACAACCAAACCCAGCAAACCAACCCGCAGAAACATCTAGCTTGAATTTACTGGCAAACCAAAGACGTTCAGATGAACTTATTTTGAGAAGAAAGGCTTTGTGTTTGGTTCTGACGGTGCAGAAAACAGCAGACACTCACAGTTGCGATACAGTAGGGGAGATTGTTTTTGCAGCCGGGACACAGAAGTTCACACTCTGGGAGCTGGAACGCACAGTGTGGACAGGCTGTCGCTGGCTCTTCTGTCTCTGTTGTGTCTGGACGTCTAGAAGTAAGATACAAATGTGAATAAAAACCTCAAGCACTTGGAGCTTGAACAAAGATGTTTTACAAATGCCTTTGGTATTTAGCAAGCGTTCTTCCATGGAGTTATCTGCATGGCTTCCAGTTGCTATTCTATATTCTACCAGACAATTCCTTTTAACTATCGCCCAAGGTTTGTCACAATTATGTAAAATCCAAAAAGAGGTCATTTTCCATCTAATTTGAAACAATACAACCTTTTTAAAGCTGTAACAGATCATCATTCTTTGAAAGCTTTCAAAACTCACAGTTTATATGCCTAGAATATAAAGCTGTGGTTTCTCTGTTTCACCGTTATCCTGTGGCAGGAGTGACCGCAAAGAACCGAAGTAACAAGAAATAAACCTGGCAGGACTATACAGCCTGTAACTCTGCCTTTCACAAGCTTGGGGGCTTGTGTTCATCCACATGTCTGTCAGAAGGATGGTCCTGATCCAGACACCACAGCTCCCGGGTTAAGGGCAGCAGCAGGAGACCTTTCACATTCCTTATGGGACCTTAACATTTAGTCTTCACTGGAACACTTACAGATGAAGAGCTTAGAATCACTTTTAGTGTATTTTCCAATGAAGAGGATACATCCCTTCTAATGTTTACCCTAGATGGCTTCCCCAATTATCTTAATACTCTGTAGAAAGACAAATTTCTCTTTAGACACGGACGTTTCCCTCACAATGGCCTGTTCCCTTGTCTCCACTTACAAGATCTGAGATATGGATAAACGTGATACATTAAGAGCAAGTCAACATGGCTTTTAGCATTGATGCCATTTTAGAAGCTTACTGGAATGTTCTAGAAATACTAACAAGCAGGTACTAGGGAAGAACTTTACATGAATTAAAAAAAAAAAAGGTTAAAAGATACTAAACGGAATAGGATAAACAGTTCTCACAGGATGTACCTGTGGTGACCTGCTGCTGCTCATACAGTACAGGTGAAAATAACGTGATGCCACAGCTTGTATATAATATGCCATCTGACAGGGGCCAGAACCAGCTTCAAAGAATTCCAGAAGAACTTTGTGACAAGAAAATACAAGGGTGGGGAGAAGCCAAAGCAAGGCCTCCTGGAAGAAAGTTTCCACATATAAGAAGATGGACTCGCAACTGCTGTGGCTTAGGAGGAGGATCTTGCAATTCTAATATATGCTATGAAACCATCAGCTTGCTTTAAAAACAGTCTAAGGAGGGTGGAACACAGAGTCACTCTGCTACTACATAAACCCATGGGTTGTCCACATCTTAAATACAGTGTGTAGCTTTGGTCCTGCCTCCTCCAAAAAGCCTGTAAAAGAGTTTCAGGGAAAGACCGTATGGATCAGTATCCATAAAAGAACAGCTATGTAAGCTGAGACTCTTCAGATCCTGAAAAGATATGACTGAGGGGGGGGGGGGGGGGGGGGGAAAGTCTATAAAATCGTAAGTGACACAGAAAAAGCTAGATCTCTCCCAAGAGGAAAACAACAGGGCATCACCTTAAACTTGCTAGGGACCAGTCTTGTCACAATGGAACATCTTGTCGAAGGAGTCATCTGTTGCTAAAAATGCGCACGGCTTCAAGCAGCAATACTGGATAACCTCATGGAAAGCTTAGAGAATTAATAAACGCGCAAAATGCCCATGTGGGTTCAGCAAGTCCATAGACTAGCAAGTCAAAATGGTTAGAGGCTAGCAGAATAAGCAAGAAAAGCATTACCTGTGCTTGCCCTGCTCTTAACACACTCACCCACGCGAGGGTCTACCAAACCAGAACTTCAGATAAGGAAGAAAATGTTAAGAATTCATCTATTCTATTTGTCCTTTCATTCTTTTTTATCTTAGTCGCTTACTCAGTAGTCTAAATCCCAGAAGAGCACGATGCTGTAGTAGCGAGCAGTTTGCATGTACATTCCCAACTAGAGAACAACTAAAGCTGCGTGGCTGCGCTCACGTCTGCACGGACAAGATGGAAAACGTTCCTGCTTCTTAGGGAGCATTTCACATGCATGCTGCTTTTAAGGTTTATCACATCCAAGGGAACAGAAGAGCCTTTAATTTTCAGAGAAGGGGGAAATAGTTCTTTGCCTTCCAAATTTCAGACGGTGAAATAATGTGAAAACCGGATAAAGCCTGTAGGCTTTATGAGCAAAAATGACAAATAAAGCCTTGATACTGTGTACATTAACGCTGCTCACCTGACCATTGCTTCAATTTTCTTTTTGTATTTAAGATCTATTTTATTACGATACTCGGGTCTCATCAGCATTGCAGCAAAATTGAAGGCTGAGTTCTTCAATCCTGCTCTATGACACTCAATTACAGCCGAAGTCAAAATTGGCACAATGTCTGTAAGAGAACGAAACAATGATGTCAAACACTAATTTACCAATATTAATGTTGAAAGCCTTTGAGCTAATACAGCTAGAGAGGTACTGATGAAAAATGACAGTATTTTTCTTCTTCCTCGTGGTAGAGTTGCACAATTTCTGCAATTCCTGTAACCACGTAAAAGAAAATCATGGTTTCACCTCTCGCTGCTTTGCATTCCTGAAGCTCAGCATGGCAGCAGCAACGTTTTGATTCGAACCATTTCTCCCAAATCCTGTTTGCACTGCTTGAAGTCTACATTTCAGTCTACATTTTCCACGTACCCAGAACAATATTCTCAAAAGAAGATGGATTAAAATTACGTGATAAAGTCACGGCATCGACCACTTCACCACGTGCGATCCGGAGTGCTGCTGTGCGGTTCAGGCGGCTCGGTACCGCAGTGGCGGGGGGTGAGGAACCCACCCCGGAGGCCCTGTGTGTATCGGAGCGCCATCCTGGGGAGGATGGCAGAGCACACGGTGTGTTTACACTCGGCCACGTGCCCTGCAGGATCACGGCAGGACAGCGTCCCGTTAATGACAGCAATCATTCATTAATTGCCCGCGGAGCACAGCATGCTCTTCTATACTGTCGGCACGTACGTGATGGGAACTTGCTGATGTTGTTGGCCACACGTATAAGCATCCGGGCTCCCTTCATGTGATCACCGCGTTTCACGTGAGTCTGGAACACAACAAACACCCTGAATTAACTGCGGCTTTCAGAGAGCAACCCCTGCAGCCCGCTCCTGGCAGCCCCCCCCCCCTCCCCGGGGAGCCGCACACCCGCGGCTCGCTCACAAACCCGTGGCGTGGCGTGGCGTGGCGTGTGTTAGAGCAGGGCCCGGAGGCTTCGCAGTGCCCCTCTCCCAGAGCAGCCTGCCCGGCCCTCAGCCCGCGCTCTGTCCGCTCCTGCCTCGCCGCCGCCGGCAGAGAGGGCGGCCAGAGCCCGGCTGGAGGCGGAGCGGCTGTCCTGACCGGCCCTGCGCTGGCTACCAGAAATCATTCGAGCCTCCCGGCTTAATTTCATTTAGAGAAAAGCAGCAGCCTGCCTACGAATAATAAATAATTAAGGATAGTGCTAGCGGCATAACGTATTTGTAAGCATGAATGCAAAAGAAATGAATACGCTAATCAAAGAGGCAGAAGCAACCAAAATGTGCGGATTGTCCTTTTTAGCGCGCGCTTGGGTTCTGAGATACAACTGACACGTCAAAGTACTTGGTGTACACAGAGCATCCGTATGTACAGTTCAGTAAATCCGAGGCTGTGCAACTTACACATAAATTCGGTTTCTCAGTTCATTACCTTCACTAAAATATAGCTGTGTAGAATCATAAGGTTTGTAGCCATCTCAGAAGGAATTTTAATCTTCTGGGTCTTTAACTCTGAATACATACTGAAAAGAACATCATGCGCATTTCGGTAGTTTCCTTGAAAACAAACAACACTGAATTTAATTTTCGTAACAATTTCTTTGCTAATGACACATATGGAAGCTGACTAGGAAGTCGTGTTGATTCTCAGAGCAAAACCTTTGCATGGATATTTCTTTGGACAGTCAGTCACAGGCAGTTGCTTGTCACAGTATCCTCAACAGTATCAGCCAGGGAGTTGAATAAAACAAAAAATTTATAGTTTGAGGAGTCATCTAAACAGTAGCAAAATACAGATAGGGATGACAATTTCATATAATGAAACTTTACAAATGGAAGGGGCTGTATCCAGTACATTGCTTCCACAATAAAGATGAGAAAAGGTATTTTTGAAGCATTTAGAGATGTTACCTCTTTTTGTTCTCCAGTGTCAGATATTCAAAAGCCCTTCTTTAAACGTGAATTTAACATACTTTTACTTTATCATTTGCTTTGGCAACTCCTTGCCTCTGCAACCAAACAAACCCAAAACCTTTCAGAGAGATAATTAAAATTTGAATGTTAATTCACTATGTTATATTGCTTCAAGGTTACTATCAAGGATTGTCCAGAACCACAGGATTTCATTAAAAGAGCAATGTAGCTGAAAACAACCAGTGCTTAATATGGACAGTCTGCACTTAGCTAGTTGTTTGTTATTGCTTTGGCTTTTTTTTTTTTGTTTTACTTCATTATTAGAGTATAAGAAAGTCATACTCTTTGCAGTTGGAGGTGTTTAAAGGAAATTTCAGATTCAGCTACTTCAGCAAACTTTTTTGTCTCTTTATACTTCTCTATCAGCAATAATTTTTGCTCTGTAGAGCAATGTGTTATGCATTGTTACGCACTACAATTGAACCAACCAGTGGACTTTGTGTGAGGTAGCTCAATACCACTCCAGAATTAGTTGCTGGAAAACAACATTAATTTTTCATGTTGCGTTCCCAGGCTCAGTGTAACAGGATCAGTCTTAAAATCACGTGATTACATAAAACCAACTTAAAGGAATACTGCACATAAAATGGTATACACAAAGGCAAATACCAAACTGTTTGACTTCTGAGGAAGGAGTTAACTATACTGATGTAAACTTCAGAAATAAACTCACTGAAATCTCCTGAAGGAAGAGGGGGACAATCTAGACCTGTGCTTCTGTGGAAGAAAGTCACTGCAAGATTTGTGATTTTAATGAAAAAAATTCTGTGCTTATTGTTACAGTGTTGCAGAACACATCTATACTGTTAGGGAATATGAAATGCAGTACGCGATACTGCATTTTAAATACAGGTTTTGAGATTCAGAGAAGCTAGTAAATAATTAAATCCTCGAGCCTTTACATTTCCTGCCTACATAATTAGCAGAAAGACAAGGCTCAGTGCCAGGTCCTGCATTTGGGTCACAACAACCCCACACAACGCTAGAGGCTTGGGGCAGAGTGGCTGGAAAGCTGCCCGGTGGAAAAGGACCTGGGGGTGTTGGTCGACAGCCGGCTGAATGTGAGCCAGCAGTGTGCCCAGGTGGCCAAGAAGGCCAAGAGCATCCTGGCTTGTGTCAGAAATCGTGTGGCCAGCAGGACTGGGGACGGGATTGTCCCTCTGTACTCGGCACTGGTGAGACCGCACCTCAAATCCTGTGTCCAGTTTTGGGCCCCTCGCTACGGGAAAGGCATTGAGGTGCTGGGGTGTGCCCAAAGAAGGGCAGCGAAGCTGGTGAAGGGTCCAGAGCACAAGTCCGGTGAGGAGCAGCTGAGGGAACTGGGGTTCTTTAGCCTGGATAAAAGGAGACTGAGGGGAGATCTTATTGCTCTCTCCCAACTACCGGAAAGGAGGTTGGAGTGAGGTGGGTGTCTCAGTCTCTTCTCCCAAGTAACAAGTGACAGGATGAGAGGAAACAGCCTCAAGTTGCTCCAAGGAGGTTTAGATTGGATATTAGAAAAAATTTCTTCACTAAAAGGATTATCAGGCACTGGAACAGGCTGCCCAGGGAAGCGGTGGAGTCACCATCCCTGGGGGTATTTAAAAGACGTGTGGATTTGGCTCTTAGGGACACGGCTCAGTGGTGGACTTGGCAGTGTTAGGTTTACAGTTGGACTCAATGATCTTAAAGGTCTTTCCCAACTTAAGTGATTCTGTGATTCTATGATTATTCACTGCTATGATGAATTGGAAGATCATGCCGACCAAGGGTTTAAGTGATTTTCCACTCCCTAGCCCAATGCTAAGGAACAGTCCATAAACGTTAATTTGCCTGGGCTGTTCCTGAGACTGCTATTTTTCTTTTATAGATATTTTTCTTAACTTACTTGAAATGAAAAGCAAGCAGTGTTATGGTAGGGGCTGCTGCCATGGCTACAGAGAAGTGTGAATAGTGGAGGCAACAGCTATTTTGCTTCTGGCCCTGTCCCACCTCATCACTTTTTTCTACTTCTAACTTCAGCTACTTATTACAGAGGAAAACAAGGCTTAAGTAAGCAGGTATCTGATCCTTCAACAGAAATCACCTCCTGTGCACATCTCCAACTGAAAAAAATCATGTACGAAGACTAAAGGATCAGTATCCAAGTCCGAAACCGCATGTAGAAACTGCAATTCTGTGAGAGGCAGAAAAGTTGCAGGCAATCTTAGTCACTATGTTTACTTGAATGTAATAGGGAATGCAGATAATTTTACACACTTTTCTTTTTTTCCAGTATTTAATACACAGCTATGAGTCCCGACCTCTTCACAAAGTCTACTTCAAATTAAAACCTTCAACTCGAATATAATTAAAAGAACTGATAATGTATATTTTCTAAGTGTAACCCTATATAAACAATGGTACCCTAAATACTGCAAAGGTGTCATATCAGAGAAAAGAGACTTACCTGAACACTGCTCCTCCCTGGCAATTATTATAGCAGTTCTGGCAGCTTCTCTGTATTGCTTTAGTGCCATGTATAAGCGGAATAGGTACTTGGCATCCTTAATTAAATCATACAAAAGCAATTAATACTAACTGAATACATACTGCTGTATTCTCTTTCGTTACTTGCCCAACCCACCACCACATTCTTCAAAACAAGCAGACAAGCTGGCTTGCTTCATGAAAACCTCTTCATATCAACATGCTTTAGCTATGCTACGTTCCCCTCGAAGTTTTGGCTGCTAGGACAGCCAGATAAACACCCGCGCTGAGCACCCTGGCAGAATCGTGGCCGTGAGATGCCAAGCCCTGTCGATACTGACGCAGAAAGCCGCCGACCGTTAGGCACGCAGAGAGAGTTGTACAGGTGGAAACGCGACAACTTCAGCCGTGTAGGCACTTATGGTGTCACCAAAGAACCAAAGGACTCCTTTAGAAAACAAAATGTTTAAATTGTGTTACGGATCTAGACGCAAACACGGCTCAGTGTGGGTAAGGGTGACACAATGCAGCCGTTACAGTGTGTACTGTCCTGGGATCAGACGGCAGACATCCAGCACAGCTGAAAACCTGAAAATTCAGGGGACAATCAGCTAACAAAATGCACAAAATTTATAATTTGCTGTACCATGTACTTTTGATATATTACATGACACAAGAATGGCAAATGGAGCAAAGGGTTCACCCCAGAACTGGCAATCCAACAGCGGGAAAATTGGTGAAATAATTTAAAAACAAAACTTTAAAAAACCAAGGTGGCAGTATTGAAAAAAACCAAACAAGTTCTATTTTTGTGAAGTGTACTCAAATTTCTAGCAGACTAGCAAAAAAAAAAAAAAAAAAAAAAAATCAACAAGAGAAAAGATAATTGGTCTTTCATAAGGATTTTGAGAAAATCCTCAAAAGATGTTGTTCCTAAAAATACAGTTAAAATAAAATGACCTTGCTTATGATGAAAAGGAACTATTAGTGAAAACAACCAACTGGGTTGGTGTCACTATTTTATATCGTTAGCAGTGATTTCTAAATGGGATCAATAAAAAGTAAAGCCTGTGCACAACAATTTTTTACCTAGTAAATCAAGATTAAGTTAAGCTGAAATATCCTGTATAATGGTATGGTTCCAACTTTAATATACAAATCAGGGAAAAAAAAAAAAGACGCTGGTAACTTCATAGACAGCTTAGTAAACCAATTAATTTTGCAATATTAGTAGTAAACCCAAACATTTACAGTGTGTTGTCTATGTTAAAATGGTATAAAAAATTATTTAAAATAATTGTACCAATCAATGTTGTGCTGTTCTCTAGAATACCATGTGGGTTTTGTGTGTAAGTCTCAAGCACATAGAAAAAAAGCAGAAATTCAAAGGAGCAAAAATATGAAAGATATAAAGACATTTTCTTATAAAGAAGATGACTGCAGAGATTAAATCCCTACTTGAGAGGCAAGGAAAAAAATAATGAAAAAAATCACAGAAATAAAAGCAAGAGAGAAAGACTGGCATACAGATGGAAAAAGGGCAAGTCAAATTCTTCTTTTTAACTTGCAATATGAGGAAAAACATTAAGTGACCAAAAGTAATTATTTTTAAACTAATGATGGAGCCAAATTTTAAGTAACACATGATCAAAAGGTCAAACATCTTAAGAACCATAACTTAACGATAATGAAATAGTCATCTGGATAATAAAGTAACCACAATTATTTATATTAGTGGCTGTTATTTATCCACCGTAAACTGCCTTAAAAGGGAAAATTGCTATTCCCTGAATGAAAAAACCCCAAAATCATTATGAATGGTAGGCTATGATGTAATTCTTCCCAACTTCTGGCACCTCCTAATGACCACAGATGGCAATTCCACTGACGACAGCAGGAGGCTGCACTTCTCCATCCAGGCTGCTTCTATTTCTCCAGCAGCAAGAGAACGATCCTGTCCCAGCAGGGACCAGTGCTCTTGGTATTTGCCATGTCCCTAACTATATTTTACTTAAATAATATATTTAAATGACTTACATGGCAGCCATATGTAGAAAAAAATATAAAAATACAAGGCATTTAAGAAAAATTAGTCTAATGTTTTACTTTCATGTTCTTACCTTTAAAGCCAGCCATTTTAAAAGCAAAAATTGCAGCAACGAATTTTCAACTGACAACACATTTCCTAAGGTCTTTGGAAAAATTTATTACTGCAGTCTAACCGATCTTAATATTAGATAGCCATGATTATAATTTAGTTTTGCTTTATTAAAACACAGGTACTTAGAAAATATGCACACAGAAAACAGCAGAACCGTGCTAGCTAACACCCCCTGAAGAGTTACTAAAGAACACACATGCCAAATTGAGATTCTTTACATGCTAAAGTTAACCAATAGAATAGCTGACATCGTAACACATTTAAGAAATAGATTATAATTAGTCAGACAATAGTGTAGCAAAATTTTGGTAAGCATAATAATTTTGATAATGTGGTGCTTGATTAAAATGCCACCTAATTGCTGGCTATGAAAGACTTAAAGCAAGCAGGCTGCTGTGAGTGATGATCGGAAGACCAATGCTTGAAAGGATTAGCAAGTTTCTGCTGCACGGCTACTTTAATTCACTTTTACTTTCAGCTTTACAAAAATACCCCCACATAAAAGCTGCTATCCTCTAAAAACAACCCCATTTGCTCGATAATTTCAAAAACAGTCTCTATAGCATAATAAAGATGAATTGTTTTTAAGTAAAACAAATATGCATGATTTCATAAAGTAAAATTTTGTTACTCACTGAGACAGACTATGGCAGATTGGATTAAGGCATTCGGAAGAACAAGAGACAGCTTTTAAACAAGGAAAAGCAAGCTCTACATTGAAGTTCAAAACAATGTTAAATATGGCAATTATGGCATTCACAAAATTCCTAAGTGTTTTCTAAAACCTTTAGAATCTCTTCACTATGGAGACCGTATCATAGCTCACTTCCCTTATCCAGTTCTATGCACTTCTTTCAACCAGATGGCTAGGCTGCTCTCAGAAAAATCTTCTGGCAAGATCTTTCTAGCATCTTAGAAGAGAGACTGGATGCTACAGTTTCTGTCCATCCAACTTTCAGCATAAAAATGGAATTACTTTTGCTTACACTGATGCTGCACAGAGTTTTAATCTAATGCCTCCAACAACTTCATTCTTTTCTGGTCTCTTGCAGTTGAATTTAATTTGTTTCACTACATTTTTCTTCTCTCGTAATTTTACTAATGTTCACATTTCAAATTACAGGTATATATTAAAGAGATAGAAGGTTTGGGTTTTGGTTTGTTGCCTCTTTTTTTTTTTTTTTTTTTTAAATTAAATTTTATAAAAGGAAAGTTGGCTTGGCCATCAACTGTCCAGTGTGTCTACAAGTCTAAAATATCAAACCCTTAATCTCTACGCACCATACAAAGAGGAAAGAGCTAGAATTTCTAATCTTCCAACAGAATCATAAACCACACCTGTAATATTAGGAGTAGTCTTGTAGCACAGCAATGTGATGCAACAGCAGTGATAAAAATACAGTACCTTGGGCATGCCATCACTTTCTCCCATGAGATAGTCTATCAGCTGATTTGTTAAGGCTTCATCTTTTGCCCGTCCCACCTATTAAATAAAGACAGAAGAAATTATGATATGAAAGGAAAAATACTTACTCATTGTCCAGACAATTACTTGGTTCATCAGCTTTGATGTGCAGTAGCTCATACTTATTTTCTAATGTGTTATGTCAGGGATTATAACTAAGTAGGTCTCTACCAGCATCAACTGTTTCAGTCAGCTTCAGTGCTGGGAAGGCATCTGAATCTAGGGACCACGAGCTGAAGCCCGCTGTCACAAAGTTATGTCTATCAACCCAGGACAATTTGTGCCTCGGAGGAATATTCAGTGTTGGTCACTAGAACAGAGCCAGCACTATTTGGCCAGTGGAAGAAACAGTCTCAAAAACGTGTCTGAGATGTTGAGGTTCCACAAGGATACGTATGGTACAGCTGCAGTAATAGTCTTTGGGCTGAAACATCCAGATACAGAGGAAAGAATCAGACACCTCAAACTTCAGTCTTACAAGCCCTGCCAACAGCTCCCTGAAATGGAAGGCCTCAAGAGAGGCTGTGCTTGTTCTAAGCAGAATCAAGTCTACTGTTTAAAAACTTGAAACAGCTCTAGTGATACCTAACAAGGTTTTCAAAGCTATGGGTTATTCAAGGGAACAGACGCAGTCCGAGCATGATGACAGAAAGTGAAAGTTGCAGGAGATGCTTAGATGGCAGCTGGCAGTGGGCCGGCTTAGGCAGGTTTCCAGCTTACGTAGTCCAGAAGGGAATCTCAAGAAACAGAGTAGGTTCACATGTACTGAGGTGCACCATGAGTGAGAGACCTGGTGACTACAGAATTTTTGAGATTATGCACAAAATAACTAAGCAAACATTGCTTCATCCCAGAATTCTTTTTTTTTAGGGATGGAAAAGATTCTTATAAGTAATAAGGAAGAAAACCAAAAGGTAACTAGTAAGGGTGATGCTACAGTTGGTTTTCTGTCTGATAGTAGAAGTTGAGAGCAGTGGATATTGTCTACCTTGACTTCAGAAAGGCTTTTGACACTGTCTCCCATAACATCCTCATAGAGAAGCTGATGAAATACAGGCTGGATGAGCAGTGAGGTGGACTGAAAACTGGCTTAATGGTGAGGCTGGAGAAGAGAAGGCTCAGGGGGGGATCTTGTCAATTATATAAATACATGAGGGAAGGGCACAGAGAGGACAGAGCTAGGTTGTCTTTAGTGGCTTGGCACCACTGGTTTTTAGAGGCAACTGGCACCAGCTGAAACACAGGAGGTTCCATCTGAACATCATGAAACACTTTTTCACTCTGAGGGTGACCAAGCACTGGCACAAGTTGCCCAAAGAGGTTGTGGAGTCTCCATCCTTGGAGATAATCAAAAGTTGTCTGCACATAGTCCTGGGCAACAGGCTCTAGGCGGCCCTGCTTGAGCAGGGGGGTTGGATCAGATGACCTCCAGAGGTTCCTTCTAATCTGAACCATCCTGTGATTCTGTGACAGAAAGCTACAATGGAGGCATATTGACTTCTCTAACCATGGAGTGCAGACTGGAAAAATCAGCAAAATTGAAAAATTGTATATGGATATTGTTAAAAAAGAAAATTCCAAATTCAGGTGTCTCTTCACGCACAACCACAAAAATCTGAATGAATTTATAAACCTTCCTCTGCAGACTGAGAACACGTTCTCCTCTGGTGTCAGTATTAACTTATTCTACTTTTATTTAATGCTTAGATATCACCTTTACTGACACAGTTTTCCTTCTATTTGCAATCTGTCCAAACACACTCACTGATGCTAGGAAAATGTCACAATACTGAAGGTAAACTTCTTGAAAAGAGTAAGAATTTTTGTTTTATCTAAGTTGCTTACTGTTTCAATTGCCATTTCTATAGCCAAGTTATCTTCTGTGCTTGGACTTTTCATAAAGTGCTTTAACGCCTAAAATGATACAGAAGAAAAGTCAAAAGTGAGACATGAAATTAACATTTTCCTAATTTTTATCAGGTTATTTCTCTCTGCATTTTGACAGACAAATGGCACGCTGGATGCTTATCCTGACTGTATTTTACAGCCATAAGGGTAACCACATACACTACAGAGGTAGCAGCTGCTCTTACAGACACTCCTTCAAGAAAGAACAGTTGAGTCTTTGCCAAATTCTGGTGTATACCTTCATCCAACTGTGAAAGATGTTCACAGCAATATGGTAAGAAGAAATTAATGATTAATGTGCCACTGGACTCCCCTTATGCCTCAGCTGAAGGAGTGGTCACCTACAATGGTTGTAATTTGCAAAAATCAGTAATATTTTTTTGGTATGTGTTCAGTATAAAGAAGTCAAACATTTAATAAGCACTAGTTCACTGATTTGTAGATGATCAAAAAGTAGTGTGTTGACTGACATAGTTCAATTTACATATTTCCTTTTTTTAAAAAAAAGCTTTAAGTTAGGGCATGCTACAGTATTAACTGAATTAATTAGTCAGCAACCAAGTTTTCATTGGTCAAGCTAATGAAATATAAATAAATTCTACTTGTGTTTTCATGACATTTAGAGATTCGTTGAGAACAGTATATGACTGATCTACCTGGAGACTCTACTGCTATGAAAAAGTTACATGGATGGCAGTGTATAATTCACAGCATACAATGTAGGGAAGTGTAAACGTAAATAGTTTACTTATGTTTTTTACATTTTTAAAAAATATCACTATGTCATCAGTTAAGGCAGCTAAGGTCCACTATGAACTTCCCTCATTTTGAAGTACTGTATTTTGAACAGTTTCTATGAATGTTTAACTATCCTTGTTTTATCCTTTAAGTACTGACCCGTCCATATTGACCACACAGCAAGAAAAATTTTCCCGCCTGAAAATGTTTCTTTTCTCCTTCAAAATACAGTGCGATGCTCTGATAATCTTCATTGGTAGTACTTTCAGAACCTGCAACAGATAGATAGCATTGATAGCAGAGTATTGAGTATTCTTATTAAGCAAGATAGAGGCCCTACTGAAAGAACAAATTCCTATTCTACAGGGTTTTTTTTCTATTGACATTCAAAAAAACGCAAAGCCAGCTAGGCTCAAATTATGTTTTATACATTTTTTTTTCCTATTTAATCTCACTAAATGTCAGACACCAGGAGCTAATAATGCAGTGAAATAATTGTTTCCATAGGTTTTACACCATAATGGGATCTTTGTTTTTTTAACAGACATAATAAAATGGCTTACTAATGATTTTTTCCATTCTATCTTGGCAACAATACAACACAGCAAGTGATTATGTGATTATCACCTGAATTATTTTCACGGTTTAAGAATATGTGAGTATATCTGTATTGCACATTGCAAGACTACCAGGACCAATGTAACCATGTGGTAGCAGGGAATACTACTTAGTCTTCTAACGAAGACTCCATTCTACTGTACTAAAACAAAGACAGCCACTACTCCAAAGTTAGTTCTAAACCCTTTTTGCACCCACTTAGATTACAGTTTAAGACATCTATTTGGATAGAAGGAAGAAAGCGTAAGGAACAGCAGAACAATAGTGGCCACCTTAAGAAGCAGCTGCAACAATACATCACCAAGCTAGCTGTTACCAAGTTTATATAACCTTCATAACAAGAATAAATTTTTTAAACTAAGAGATTAATTGAAAACATGAGATAATTTGGTAGGTATGTATGTGGAACTGTTTCCACAAGGAATAGTGCCCGAGAGAGGTGAAAAATATAAAATTTATTGCAAATCAACAAGGTGGATGCTGACTGACTTGATGGCCTGAGATAAAAATCAGCTTCTCAATAAGGTCTCCTTTTTGTCTCCCACTGAGACAAGAGGAGGCCATGAAGGGGGAAAAAAAGGAAACACAAGTGACATGCATATGTAAGAAAAGAGCTGAAACCATGAAAAAAGGAAAAGAGGGGATAAAAATCAAGAATTGTACCAGTAAAATTCTCAGTTTTGGAAACGCAGTACTACATATATCAAGGTCCAAGATTCCTCAACAGACACGAGAGAATAGTCTAGACAAATGCTTTATCTCTAAGGATAAACAGGAAAAGCTCTATCACAGGCAAGACTTGAAAACAAGCTAGAACAAAGACCAAGAGCGATACCTAAGCTGAAAGCAAAGCCTAGCTTGTGAAATTGAATTAGACACAGGCTGCCAAATCTGTCTGTATCAAGTGGAAATGGAAAAGGCTGCAAGCAAAACTTCATACCCGTTGTCTTATGATTTCAAATTGGCCTAAATCAATTAGAAGAACAGTAAAACATATTGCAAGCAAACTATTAACCTGGAGTACTCACTGATGATATCAGCATAAATCTCCATCTTGTTGTGTTGTTGAGCTAATGTGAAAGCTTCATTATTGCACTTGGACATGACCAGGAACTGGATGGCAGAACCATAGTCACCAAGCTGCAGAAAGAATCTAATCAGAATGAACAAATTAATATCTTAGTACTAATTAGCATAATGAATACACCAAATGTTTTAGGAATACAGCATAATTTGTGGCATACAAATATGATACATTTCTGAATTATTTTATATCTTGATTATTTTAAATAGGTTACTACAATTAACTTAGTATAAATTACTTCAGGTTAATATAATTTTAATCAGAAGGTTTAAAAAAAAGAAAAATCAGTACCTGCTTAGCTATCCAAGTTTTAGAGCTCAAATCAATAAACTGAAGTACACAGTCACTGGCCAAGTACCAATAAACAATCTTATACACTAGCAAGCCACACCAACTTCCAATAGGTATGGCCTTTGTCACCCCCTTTTTTTTAACCTGCATCATATATGATTGTTACCTGGCCACCATCTTTGCTCCATCAAGAGACTGTGTTTCTCTCACAATATTAACGGCCTTTTCAGGATTATTAAGGTGATCCAAATGCAGTCGAATTACACTGTCCCATTGTTTTGCATGCTCATAAGCTATCACAGCTTCCTTGTACCTGCAAAATAATTGTTCCACATCCGTTTTTCTAACTTTTAAATAATTCTTTACAATATGGTGTGAAGGAAACATACAGTATTTTATTTCTGAGGTTACTTTGTGACATCTTCCTTTCAGTTGGCATATAATAGCCTTGTTCTGCATTTGCTATGTTTTTTTTGGTCGTTATTTCATTTTAATTGGGAGAACGAAAGGCAGACAACAGAAAAATGTTTATCACACTATTTTTGACCTACTCTGCCAGCATCCCTTTTGGTATATGTTAAAAGCGATTCATCTGTTCCATCAGCAAACATCATCTGTTTCATCAGTTCCATATGAAATCACTTGGGAGAGAACAATAATAAACAGATGATAACTAGTTGCACAATTTTAAAAGTAAGACTTCTGTTCTGTGAACAAGATCAAGCAATTTCTCATTCTCACACTATGCAACTGACACAAATAATATTTTCTAGTCTTATCAGTACAAACATTTAGCTTTCGTGCTGTTTCATACTACAAAGTATTATTCTGAAGCACATTTACTTACTGGTAAGGACTAGTAGAAACTGTATTCTGTGATTAAATATAACATATTTTGGGCTTTCATTTCAGCCAAGAATTTCACACTATTCAATATTTTGCAAGTGCAGCCATTAAGATGTAACAGTAATTTGGTTCCAGAATGAAAAATTTTCTTTCATAATTACTCCTTCTTTGAATGACCTTTACAAATCACAGCTAAGGAGTTGTTAGAAACAAACAACTTCAGTACCCTGCTAAGTGGAATACTGCATTGGGTGCAGTACTCTAAAACCTTTAATGATTTCTGTTAAAAATATATTAATGCTTAGACAGGAAAACAATCAATTAGAAACACATCTCTGATACTAGTGGAAGGTCCTTAGATTATGTTTAAAATCTTTACACAATACCTTAAGTTTATGCATTTCAGAATCCATTTTCACAAAGTTATTTTATGCAAAATCTAAAGTCTGTCTTTTAATTAAATTTTACAAAAGGGTTGTATAATAATAATAGTAATAACAACAACATGTTTTATAAAAAAAAGATAAGCATTCAAATGCACCTGCCATCTGCTTCTTTGGCCTTTGCATATTGTAGGTGAATCTTTGGAGATGAAACATGAGGAAGTAGTTCACCAACCTTTGCCCTACAAAGACAAGATAATAATAATTTAATAAATACATCCAGTTTCAATTTTTCTGTAGTAAAACAGGCATATTTCTATCAAGACTGAAAAGAAGGCTAAAAAGGAAGTAATTTAACATAACGTATAAGCTTTGAAGGCACTTCAACATTTCCAAAAAGCTGTACTTTATAGATGTAAGAGCTGGAAATCATAGACTGCTTCATGAACATACAGACTTAAAGAAGGACAGTATCTTCTCTTCTTTAAGATGTAAGAGCATAAGAAATGCCAGACCACCAATTTTTACCTCCACTATTCTCTAATTAATCTACAGAAGCAGCACAGTATTAAAACTATAACCTGAAAGAATGTGCAAAAGAGTACAAAAAGACCACCAAGAAGGTGGTGACTGTGTGCTTAAGGCCACAGGTAGTGCAGAGGACTCTAGGCAATTAGAACCAGATTCCCTGAGTGACAACAACTGTGACAACAGTGTGGAGGAACACAGAACTACGTCATGCCTTCCATAAATCTAGCTTCAGGAGTTGTACAAAGTGATATGATCGATAAAAGGCAGCAAACTAAGCAGTGGGCCTTTCAGGATAAAGGATATGAGAGGCTGGCCTTAAATCTCACCTCTTTGCCTAAACGATAGGGCATTCCCCACACTGAACCTCCTTCTGCTAGAGTAAACAAAGCTTGTGCCTCCCACCTTCCAAACCAAGGCTATCATTATCTGCAAGCTACCCTACTTAATGAAGCATTCTCTTGGACCATTCTGATGCCACTGACACTTCTATGATGGAATAAAATTTTCCTTAGTAAGTGAACATAATCTTCCAACCAAATTTTTAGAGCCCTCGTACGAATGAGGTGGGGTCCTGATCTCTGCTCCAAACAGTTCTGAATATTAGAAGTCTGTAAAATGTAATTAGGCAATAATTAAGCCCTTAAATCTCTCAGTAAATTGTACTTTTCCACTGGAAACTTGACAATAATAAACTTCACTACAAACCATTAAAAATATATCAAACATAACCCCAGTGATTCTGACTACTCATGATATAGACTCCACTTGAACCAGCAACTTCATTTCCAACTGTCTGAATATTCAATCTCAGATACGTATTTTATAACTGAAGAAATGTAATGAAGTAAACAGTAACTACATGAATAAAATGACTAAATTCAATGGGTGCATGCGTACATGCACACACACACATACATAAAGGACTTGAAATTTTATGTAACTTTAAACATAACACACAAAAAAAAAGAAAAAAGGAATACTATCTCCCATTTACAGTAAGACTATATTTAAAACAACATAAGCTTCTGAGAGAACACTGTTCTTGTTTAAGCTTGAGGGAGGGAACAATAAAATCAGTGAAACATAATTAATGAGACATTTGTGCTATTCAGAGAAACATTCCTTTCCAAAGAGCACCACAGCAAGTCCTCTGAAATAGGGCACTTCCCTGAAACCTGTACTTACCAGTTTTTACATCGGATGTATACTGATGCTGCCTTGTCATAATATTGTCCCTTTTCGTACAGCTGAGCAGCTTCTGAAAATTGCTAAAATATTGGAAATCATTAAAATATCATTTCTAAATTAAGACCACAAATAAATAGATAGCTTAATGAATTCACATATTCAGCCTTGGCTTTATTAAACTCTTTTGAATACCTTCATACACTCCAGAATAGCTCCACAGTCTCTTTTTAGTAACCTACTGGGATGTTTAATGGCCTGGTTTACCCCTCGACGGATATCTCCCATCCGAATGGACATTTGAGCCACTCCAGCAAGACAAGCTTCATCATGTTCCTGGTACTGGCAATCAAATGAAAAGCAGTAACTATACATTCTATATCAGAAATACCAGGTCATAAAAGCCACAGTAACCAAGCACTGAAACAAATTAAGAAAACATTACATGGACTTAGTTAAATCATTTTTTGTCTCAAAATTCTTGCCTAGCAGCAGCTGTCACTTATTTAGAAGAACTAAGCTGCGTTTTATTCTTAAACTTTGTCTTTAATTTTTACATTTTACTTACAAGACTTGTCCAGATCAAGCATACATGAGAAGAATCTGTTTTACAGACAGCTCAGTACTACTCTCCTCCAAAACCAACAGTAGAGAAAAAGAGAAACTACAGGCAGGATATTTTTTTATTTTATTTTATTTTTTTTTAAAGTTGGTAAGGCCACTGATGTTTCATAAAGCCAAATGGCTTGAATTCAGAAAACATTGTTATTTCCCCTATTATTTTCCTCTATTATAATTTAAGATGCTTCCTAATAGACATTTTGCAAATATTATGGGAAATAATGCCAGAATAGAGGATCCACTGAATATGATGTTTATTTCTAACACAATCCTTGCTTTTCTTCATATAGTTAAAAATTTGGTAAACAAGAACAGAAGGAATAATTAGGACTTTTGTTATAACAATGAAAATCCTAGCAATATTTTCTCTGACATTTGCATGTCTATTATGAAACTGCTCAAATTACAAAACCTTAGTTATGCCATGTTAATACTATGGCAATAACGCTTTATACCTAGAGAAAGCATAAGTCTGTATAATAAAAAATAAGAAAAGTGCAAAGACTACTATCCCAAAAGCAACAGTCATATAGATTTAGAGCTGAGTAAGAAAAAACTAAATTCAAATGAGTCTGAAACATGACAACTTAATGTGTAGTACGATAGTACAAATGCTATATTTACTAAAAAGGAATTACCTTATTGTTTCCAGTGATTCCCTTCTCATAATGTGCCAGAGCGTTAATATAATCACCCCTAAAAGAAAAATGGAAGTTATATGGAAGAATATTTTTAATAGGGAAAGATGGTTGGTTACCTTCCTACCACACAGATTATGCATGTATCTGTCTTGCTGAAAGGAAGGCAAAGACTCTATCTGAACAATCCATCTCAATAATCTCACTTCTATTTCCACATTTTTCTGGAAGATAAATGAAACTAACCTTTTAAAATTATTTAGAATTTTTGCAATGTAAAAACAAAGGCAATTTTATTTTCTTAAATGCATTCAGAACTCAAGTTACAGATGGTTGCATTGCTGCAATTGCCTCTGTTCCTTCCTTCTGTGACCAACACGTGTTCTCTCTCAGTGCCAGGGGGTACTGTCAAGGGGAAGGAGTTGTTTAAAAACTCTATTAATAGATAAGAGTTTTTCCTCTTGGTTTAGACATTAAACAGACCAGGTTTCATCTGGGAAGAATTAACTATAAAACAGACTTTAAAATCATGGCAAATGGTTAATACCTTCTCTCTTTCAGGGACTGGCAGCCCTGAAGTTTGACACTCCTCTACCTAAAACATGTAAGAAAATGAAGGCTACTGGGTATTTAAGGAGACACAGGCAAAAGGCAAGGCTTTTGTCCAATGTAAGAAGTGTTAAATGGTGTGAACTTTATTTTTCAAGCACTTGCCTGCAACAAAGAATTTATGTGGTAGATGATATTATTGTACAGTGGACCTATAATTTGCAAAGAACCAAAATATACTGAAATTAATCAAAAGTAACTGCTATTTGCTAACATATGTCTCTAGCATGAAGTATTCCTTACAAACCTACTCTTCCTCCTACTACAGCTGCAAGACCTCACAGAATCCTCTCACAGCAATGCAGTCAGCTGTATCTCAATTCTACATTCTTCCAGTGGCATGAGTATTGGCTTAATATTCTTATGCTGCAACTTTACAGGAGAACTTACATGAATTCAAGCTGCACTGCATATTCCTTTGATATGAAAGGGATTTGGTCTGGGGCCAAACGCTTAGCCAGCTGAAGTGCGCTGTCCCAGTGTTGCAAGTCTTTTCTCATCTATTAACAAAGAATAGTAACATTTTCTGATGCATGTATCAAATTCTGAATTCTAATATGAACCTTATATTATTCTAAATACAAATATAGACCTAGTATTCTAGAAAGATTCAGATAATTTGAGAGACATTCATCCGAAAAGAATGTCTATCAGTAACACAACGGCAAGAACAAAACCATAGGATGACAGAATTACCAGAAGATAAAATATTCCAACATCAAGGTGGAGATGAAAACAGCAGAAAAAAATTTGCACATCTTAAATGAATACCTCAAGTGCAGCAACAGGACAGGAGGATGCCAGATATAAATCCTGCGCCAGATTAAAATCACTAGTAAACATGGCAAGATGTCCTGCTAAAAGGTTGTGGTCTTCTATTCCCTGTAAAAAGATGTAATAGGTGCAAAAGTAGTCCAGAAGAAAAAAAAAGTATCGTTGTAAGTAACATAATCTAGTAAGTACAGTAAAACAAAATACCCTTACATTTCCCAACCATGTGTATTGGATTCTACAAGCCAGAAAACAGCTCTCTCTCACTATCTTATTGTAGCTCAAAGCCACTACAGCTAACACTGTCTAAAATCAACAATTTGCAGAAGTACATTTTTAAGGTACTATTTCATGCTCACTTTTAGATGTATAATTGCCATCTGTTGTTTGGGGTTTTTTAAAATACTAATAGAGGTCTTAAACATTTTCTTAAAAATAACAAAGGAAAAAAGATGCCTGAGGCATGAATATATTCTGCTGCTTTCACGCAAAGGCAGAAAGGAATGTTGTACATTCCAGCAGAGACTAAAACCACTTCAAGAGAAAACCAAGCAAGAGTTACATGGTTTGGATACTTTTTCTTCTATGACTATTAACTCCCTTGAAAATAATTCACCTTCTATTAAAAAAAAACTCAACAAAACAAACAAAAAACAAACAACAAAATCCCCACAAAAATAAGAATTCAGTAATTCTTAAAGAAGAATGAAATCACCATGATTCCTATTTAAAAGGGACTTTACATTTTACCTTTATTTGCTCTAGTGACATCACCATCCCAGCATTACCAAATGTCCGATAAACACGTATGGCAAAATCCACCTCCATATGATGTAAGCAAGCTTTGGCCAGCTCATTCCAACGAGACTGGTCATTCAGAAGTCTGCACACCTCCCATGCTTCAGAAAACCTACAGAAGGTAAAATGTATTTAAAAGTAGTATTATTCGTACCTAAAATTTGCTCTCAACGCTTTTTTTTCCTTAATACTATGGTAGGGAAAACATAAAAAGCATTTACTTCTAAGCCATGGAGACAGAGATGTGTCAGGAAGAAAACAGAAATTCAAATGTGTAGTTTACAGTTCTGGTTCTCCTGTTTCTACCACACTTTTTTGGGAAACCATCTGTTTTCCCTATTCTGGCATTCTTTCCATTACACTGATTTTGTACTGCTTCATTATGGTGGGAGGGGAATATGTAAGAAGCACCTTCGCCCCATTTTGGAAGAGTCACTGGCATAGAACCTCGAATCAATCTTGAAAAAAATTACTTCAGCTTTTACTTGACCGTGGAAAAACAAATAAAGCACCACTGGGTCACTTACTTTGTTTGGTCTGCATAGACAGCTACGTGGACACATGGATCAATCTAATTTGTCAATATTCAGCAAGACATTTTTAAATCACCAGGATATGCTGTATTGAGCTACAAGCACAGAAGAAAACATTTAAAACGCAGATGTACCTTTTCAACATTAAAGTCTGAGTAAGCATTTGTGTCAGCTCATTAGGTCCAAAGTCTTTCAAATTGCCAAGGAAACTGTGAGTGCTCAGATAGATATTGTTTGTTTTCCCACTTGGAGTTTGACAAGTTAATTCTCCATTATACAACAACAAAGGTTTATGGGAAAAGGGGACTTCCGTACCACCTGCCAAAATAATCTTTGATCCTAGATTCGAAGATGGGGAAGAAAAGACAACATCATTTAAAAAACCTGTACATGGAATAAAGTGTAGCAAGCAGTCACAGCTGAAATAATGTAGATTGGCAGGGCGTTAATTCACGGTCTCTAATTCTGGTAGTCACCATTTACTGTACAGTGCACATTTTTCAGTAAAGTAAATATACATAACTTAAATCTTCTAAACTAGTAAGGTCATTTTCCGAATGTTTGTAGATAAATTTCTTAATGTTTCTCTGTCACAAATATAGAAATAGCAATGATTACAATTTTGGTTAACAGTGTAAGTGAATACAAGTTTTGTCACCCTGATCCTAAGATTGTCTCATGAACATTTCAAAATACAGTTGAAGCATAATGTGTAAATTTCACATGAAAAAATATAATAGCAAGAAGTTTAGGGAGTTAAGACCAAAATACTTTATTGGAGCTTTACACAGAAACCTACAAAGTACCTAGTTTTCTATTCATCAGTTGCACTTCAAAACTTTTGTAGTACTACTTATATATATACAGTTATGAAAAATATTTAAGACAACTGAAGATTCAGAACATATTTTACTTAATTAACTAAAATAGTGAGTAAGTTTTAAAAAATATTTACAGTACCTTGAATGGCATTCTTATGAAAAACGTAAGTATACGCTTTATCATCATCAAAAGCAACAAAAACACCTTTATCCATTGGCCAGTTTTCCCACAGGATTCCTTTAATAGTTGGCGAGAAGTTTGGAATCTCATATAATCTATCATTTACCTACAAATAATGCAAAAGTAAAATTACTAGCAAGTGACTAAGGAGACAAACTAAATATTCATCATGGCTATGATTAAAGAATATAAATAATGCAGAAATATGAAAATTGTATTAAGAAAAAAATTTTATACAACCAGTGACTCTGAATAACATGATAGTTAAATTCAGAAGGAAAGTAAACGGAGAAAATGCACATTATCTGAATTTTATTTACTTTCTCAGAAAAAAGGTTTGGGGACAGGCAGTGAAATTGGCAGTGCTTGTTAACAGGCTAAAATATCTCTATTTGAATACAGAAGCACATACATTTCTGAAAAATACTGATCAGGAATTTAGTATAATGAAATCGTCCTGATCTAATATGACAGATTTTATTCCCTTACATTACAATTAAGTTATCTTCAAGCCTCCATGACTATTTCTTGTACCCGCATATGTGTTGGAGTGAAAAAAGCTTCATCATTCTGTATTAAAAACCACTATACAGTTGAAGAGCCTGCCTGTAAATACAACTATATGGATAACCCACACTAACTTACTGGACAATAGACAAAGCCATCACTTTTGTCATCTATGAAAGCCAATCTGGTACCATTGGGATCTGGAAAAATTTTTCTCACACTGACAGGATGCCGATATTCATTCACATATTGCCAGTCTTCAATGTAAAAATAATGAATAACTCCAGTCTGATGAGAAATAACAGAAAAAAATAATAATAACATCAGTAAGTGGCAAGTGGATAATTAACTTCATTGTAGTTTCTCTCATCTTAAGAGTGTTGAGCAAGGAGAGTTTTTATAGAAAAATACTTCTGGGTGTTTTTTTGGCTTCCTTCTTCATTAACAGCTGGTTTTGGGCAGGATAGGAAGACTTGAGGCTTTTCGTGGGGTGGGGAAATAAGTTGGAGGTTTGAGGGATTTTCTATTGTTTTTGTTCTCTCGCTCTGCTTTGTGGACACAAACTGTATTTACTGTGCAGTTCTCTGAACAGGGGAAATGCCTGCCTCATTCATAAGAGCAAGTTAACCTTCAAAGAAAGCTGAAAAATCTACATCCAAGGAAGAACCACACATTCTTAAGAACAGATGTACCTAATGCAGGGGCCAAAAGCAATCAAACAGATTTGAGATTAATAGTGTATTTCAACCAGTGTCGCACAAAGAACACTGGAAGTAAAAGGTGGCTTTTGAAGACAATTGTAAAATTTGCACAGATCAAATTGATCAGTTGCGAATTTAGTACTTCAAATTTATCAGTACCAATTTAGGTACTGAGGAGGTGGGAAAGCCCTCAACTGCTCCACACCACTCAAATTATTAAACCAGTGATAACGCCAGAGACAGTGATTCTGTCTTTCTTCTGGTAGGTCAGTACATCAGTCTGTGTCACAAACAGCACAATACTACAATGCCAAATGTGCCCTGTAGTCCCAGTGCCAGAAGACATTAAAAGGAAAGAAACTACGCCTCATGCATAGGAAAATCTCTGGAAAAATTCCAGAAGTATGTTCACATCCTTCTTCAGTGACCTCCTAATTCCCATCTTTGTTGAAAAACCTAAAAAAAATTATCTTCGGGCAAAGGCTTCAATAGTAAGTCAAGACTTCTGTTCATGCTATCATAATTGTTTACCTCAGTACCTTTTTGCTCACATCTATCACATTACCACCTAAATCAACAAATTTGAAGGCAAGTGCTATGTTCTTTCTTATATCTGGAAGACAGTTTGATTGCCAACCTTCTCACTAAGGCAGCAGAATTAAATTCTGCTATTAAAATCAGTGTTTTGCAACACACATTAGTAAAAGCAAAACTTAACCTTGCTGCCAATGTGTCTCATACAAATGTAACAGTAAAGGAAGTTGGATGCAATTTTGACTGTATTTGTATGAAGTTCTTGCGCAGAAAATAATCCACTGTGAACTTCTCAGAAGCACATTTCTTTTGCTAAAAGTATGAGTAATAATCCAAATAATTCAGATAGAAATATACTCCATCTAAAAAGGTCTTTAAAAACAGAAGTAATACTCACATCTGTACCATATATGAGGAAGTCACTAGTTAAAGCATGACACAAAATTCGGTATTTATCATCATCTGCTGGAAACAGTCGAGTTTCTCGTTCCTCCTGAGCATCCAAACCTTCATTTTCTATCTAAATATAAAGAATAGAATGAAATGAAAAAATCCACTGTCAACAATGAGGTATGATAGTTTTGCCTGTATCAAACTGTAAGGAAATGAGATGAAAACAAACTTGTGCGTGAGCAGCATCCCTTAAAAACCCAGCATCTGCTTCTGTCACACTCCTACAGAGACTTTTAAAATAAAACTTTTAAGTAGTTCACAAGAAAACACTTTTTCTTCACCTGTTCTAGACTAGGTTGCGTTTCTAAAGTCTGCAGGAGCTCAGCTTTATATTTTAATTAGGCAGCAAAAAAAAATCTAAAGAATTTTAAACGTTTCACTCCATTAACTAAAGAGCATGCCATTTTGTCTCATTTCTAAAATTACATTAAATTGTTCAGCTTAGATCACATCAGTTCATGACTCCAAATTGCCAGAGCTCTTACCATATGCAACTGGACTTTACCCTCAAAAAGAGCAGCAGCATAATCAGCATTAAGGTGCATACTTGCTACTGTCCCCAGGTACTCCACATCTTTAAGCTTTTTTACATCTAAAGAATTCAGAGGAAAAAAAAGGTAAAAATATTTTGATTTTGTATAAGTGTTCACTTATCATTTAGATTTGCAGCTCAACAATCAGATGTGAAAAACAACTAAGCAGAGAGGGGACAAGTCACATATAAAGAAACTTTCTTCTTGGCAGTCAGAGAACAGGGTGGAAAGTACAAGAGAAACTTTTCCTACACAATTTTGACTAGTATTCTTACAGTTTTGATTAATTTGTTATTAGTCAAGAAAGATGAGCTTAGAGAGACATGAAAGCTTTAAATCTACTGTCCAAAATTTGGACATAACATAACTAATTTTACCATATCCCATGAAAACAACATCAACATCTACTAAACTGAGAATTTAAACCCTCTGATCATTTAGCTCCTATGTACTTTGCCAAACTTAGTATTTAAAGACATGGTCAAATAACGTCTCAAAAGCTTAAATCCTTAATTAGTTAACAAAATGATCAGAAAAAAAAACAAAAAAGAAGCATTCTACATTTCATTACCAATACCTTGAATCTGAAGTTTTATTTCTATTATTTTCAATGCCTTGTCATAACTGCTTCAGTTTGTGAAGATCATTGTGTGGTCCTAAAAGGACCATATGGAAATTCAAGATGTTATTATTCAATGTGGAATGTCCAGAACTGCTAAACACAATACTGAATTCATAAAATAAGACACAATGATGCAGTAGTTTTAAGAGAACTAAATTTATGCTTACTATTCTCTCCAAGTGCATAAAACCAAGCCCGATTGTTCATTCCTACAGCCAAATGATAAACACCAATAGCAACAAAACTGGGCTCTACTTCAACAGAGATTGTGACTGGTAGCTCCTGTAAGAAAACAAAACAAAACAACATAGTTTTCATCCACTATTAATACTTACTTCACTTATTTCTAAATGAAGTTTAAAAGGAAGAGGTTATCATACTCTCTCCACATGATTGGCTATAGTAACTTCAAGAAGAGAAGTGAGGTATGCAATCCGGGTACTGCAAACATCTCCAAGGATTGGAAGCTTTGTCAAGAAAACATGGAGGGATCCTCTTCGTGTAGATACTGCCAACAACTGTCCATCATCTGTCCAAGACAGCTGATCTACACCTAAAACATTCACAAGGTTTTGTAAAAAAAAAAAAAAAAAAGAAAAAAAAAATCCTTTCTTTAACTACTGAAAATGGTAGGAATTCATACATAGAAATGTATGTACTAATGTACTCATAAAAAATTAATTTAATTCCAAGATTAACTGAAATCACTCAAACCTAACCCATAATTCACTAATTTAGCATTTTCCTAAGAGTGAAGACTTGACAATAAGTGAAGCATTTACAGACACTACAAGAGGAGATAACGGTGGTAATTCATTACCCAAGAACATAGTCTTGTAACAATGTTCTGGAAGCCACAGGCACAAATCCTGTATATCAGTATAAGAACAGATTAAATATCACACATCAGTACAGGAAATGCTGAAAAGTATTAAAAAACCCACCAAAATAAAGGAAAGTAGTTAAGTATATTATTTTAATAATCTGAAAACACTGTACTACAATTACAGATTCAAACCCCCCCCCCAAAAACACCACCTGATCAATTATTCTGAGAGCTGTACTTCTCTATACTTTGAACAGATAAAATAAAATATGTTCCCATTTTGCTATGGGTCACCTAATAAATACAAGTTGGGCAAGAAGGAATTTATGACAAATTCTATATTACACAGTTTTCCCAACAACAATACTTTCACTCATGTAAACAGAGTAACCATCAAAATTTTGTTTCACTGAATTTGTAAAATTTTCTATCCTCATGGAGACTGTTAACATACCTTTGTTTTCATCATCCAAGTTTATTATAGCATACATTTCTCTCAGGTCTGACAGATCATGGATTTTAATGCTAAAACAAAAATAAACAGATATTCTCACTAAAATAAATCTCAGTCATCATAAACTGGAATAAATCCAATCCAACCAAGACAGCCTAACAGAGCAAAAAATAGAGTGCAAATGCAAAATGCCTTCCATTTCCTCAAGAGCAACATGCACTCATTGTTATCCATCACTCTAAATAGTATATCACTATCAATGTACAAAACGATTTGCTTACAGAACTAAAATTTGAGGAAAAGGCACAAATCCAACTCGAAAGAATTCAAGGGTCGGAAACACACACTATTACTCCCTTTTGACCTGTCACAATACAGATTAGGTTAAAAACACTTTCCTGATGAATAAACACTGCTTGAAACAAATACAAAAGCTAGCTTTCAATCCTGCTTCCCATAAGAAGAGACAGAGTGAGAGTTTACTTATGCTGTCATGATACTCAACATATGCTAAGGAACTCCTTGAAAAAATAGTACTTATTGTACAATAGCTGAAGTGCTTGAAGTTGCACCATGTTTTGCTCGTAGTTATACCACTCTTGACATGCAAGTGTCATACACAGAACTGAGGGCAGACAAAACAATCTGACTCCTACCATCACTCAGCTCCTGTTTTGCTGAAGAATTCAGATGCCACAGAATCAGAGAGTAGCAGACGAGGAGCTAAAGGAGATACTTTATCATATGCACAACATATTTTGGAAAAGCTCACAGTCTCTTTAGCTACTTTTTTCCTCAACTGCTTACATATTTATACTTTGGTCTAGATTGCAGATATGACCAAACACCAGGGAGGAGGATAGCAGGATATCAGCACACTCAGTACAGCTTTAAATAGTTCTCCTATTGCTAAGCAGATGTTTCTGTCCAATCAATAAATGATACTAAAGAAATCTGGACATTTTTGTAGCCAAGTAACAGAGTAGAAAAAGAATCAAAAGGAATAATCTATACTAAAGTGGGTTTGTTTGTTTGTTTGTTTGCAATTAATTACAATGAAGTTAATTACAACTGCAGAGATTTTGGTCAAAATTAGCTTCTCCTATCTTCAGGCAGAGAGGTAGTTCTACAGAGCAGTTACTCTCCTCTCTGCGCTGACTTCGGGAGCCTTGAAGCCTTAGGGAGCCTAGCTTTAATGCTTAACAGCTACAGTTACGCGAGATCATTCTTTATGTTTAAAACTACCACTTACCAATTGTCTCCACATGATGCAGCTTTGTTTAATGACTGTGATATAGCAATGCTGCTTAGATTATCCTTATGATTATGAGCTTGAAAGATTTCTTGACCTATCTCACGAATGTGCGTAGAAATGACTACAAAACACCCTCGTGAGAAACCAATCATAATGTAGCCATCACCATACCTGTTACAAAAAAAGCAACCATTAAGAGATCTATTTATGTAATACGCAAAATGCATTTTCTTTCAGACTACTGGATAACTGTCAATGCCTCCGTTTAATAAGAAAAATAATCAAATGATGGGAATTTATATTGTAATGTAAAACAACATAGTATAAAATAGATTATGGGAAAAACAACCAAAGATTCTTAAAGGACAAAACCATGTTTGTGCCCAGAGTTCAATCATAAGTCATCTTTATTCTCTCTTCTACATTCTGTAACACCACTTTACTTTCAGCAAGCTGCATACATGACAGTGATGCCAGGAGAAAGATCTCTAGTATCTTTATTGGAATAAGCATGACAGAAGATGGAAACTTCAAGGTTCTGGCTGACTTGCTTCCATCAAAACTACTGTAAAAATAATAATGCCAGTCACTGTGACCTCAAGGCATACTACTACAAACACAGCGGAAGCACCAAAGCTACAATTTATATTTGTGAATAGGTAGCCTGTTTACTTTTCATAGTGTCAAGTAGAAATAATGAGGTTATGGCAGAAATAGTTACAGCATGTAAGGATGAATTCTAACAGTATCTTATCAGCTTAGTTGCAAAAAAATCATCGCAAGTGAAACAGCCCAGGTATGCCTTGTTAGCCATGTGCTCATAAATTAATAAGTATATAGCTACAGGTTTTCTTACACAGTTGTAGTGTAAAGCGATAATGTCATTTCCATGTTGACTGAACAGGCATTAAAAGACAGAGTGTCATGATTCAAAGATATAGAAACAGTACCGTTACTGTTTGGGTACAGAGTTGAAGCTTCTACCTTGGGATTTCTTCAAAGGAACGTTACCAATTGGATTACATAGCAGGGAGGCTACAAGAATTTTGCACAACTTTGTAAACCAACAAACTAGCTGAAGGATACAACTCCACCTCTAGCTCTTTCTCTAGCTCTCTTACTCATCAAAACAGAAAACAACCTGTAAAACTCCCAGTTTAATCTACTGGGCATACCAACAATGATTACATTTTTATATACTGATTTTATAGCCATTGAATTGCCAAGTAAAACAATTACAAAATGTAGACTTATTTGTGTTTGGAAAAGAATTATTAAAAAGCCTACAATAGGTCCAAGAAAAATTCAGTGTAAGCAAGGGATATATGGTTTCATTTCCAGCATTTATCAGAACTGTTGGGAAAATCTTCAGCTTGTTAATACTAGAATGCTTCATTAAGAATGTTCTGCTCACCATCTGTAGGTTACAATACTGCCATAAGGCTGCTGAAATTTCAGATCAATCGGGTTATCAGGATCATTCAAATTAAAAAGAAAGAGAGTCTTCTTGCCGACCACTACACTTACCTGCCAATGAATGAAAAGAAAAATTAACTTGATAAGAATGGCATCACTTTAAAATAAGGCCCTACATCTTCACTAAAAGTTGAGACTTAGGACTTTCAATAATCCTTAAGAATCCCATGGATCTGAATTCTGAATCTTTATCAACAGTAGAAGAAATTTTCAGGATATTCCCCTTGTGAGCCAGTGGTTCACAGATCTAAATGCAAGCCCAGAAGAACCCACATCTCAACTTCAAGACTTTTCCCTACAGAAGCATTAAGTCAGCTGTTTCCTCAGAGGAAAAAGCAGCAGGTCACATGGAGTTACCCTGTTGGACTACTTTCACTTTAACTACAATGGGGTTTTTGATCCACAGAATTTTATCTGGGAGGTTGAAGGGAAAACTGTCACAACACTGCTATTTCAAGTAACTTGTTGAGATTTTAAAGACAGAAAGACCATTCCAAAAGAAACAACTCGCTCAGTATATATTAAACACGCAGTGTTTACAGTTTAGTATCAGTCTAGGTGAATGAATTTTATTTGAAGAATCCCATAGGAATGCTGGACTTCACAGTGGAAGATAGGTTGAACTTTGATTTTTTTTTTTTTTTTAAGATTATTTTTGTTATTAGAGTGTGTGTTGTTGTCAGGCAAGAGGAAAACATTAATTTTAGAAAAAGCAAGGAAGAGCAGCTTGCTTCACCTTATTTTTTGACAAAGATACTCTGAAGGGCTATTTACAAATTTACATTACCTTCTGTTCCAGCTTTCCCTGTCTAAAAATGAGACAATGGTTTATTCCTACAATAAAAGCTGGAAGAATGAAATACATAGCTGGTATTTTCAAACTGAGAAAAAAACACATATATTGACCTACAAATCCATTAATCTAGAATTACAAACTCAAATCCTAACCTATAACTCCTAAAGTTTCCCCAAATATAAAAACTATATTTTCTGCCTTTTAAAACAGTTTGCTTATAATTCCATTGCAGCTTGATGATGAAGTATTTAAGAAATACTATTTCTTAAACTCTTCTAAGAAATCTCAGGAATTATCGTATGTTGCAGGGAAAGACGTTACCTCTAGTATTACTTATTTTGATCCAACTTGCAGGTTTTTTTTTTCCCTAATGTCATAACTAACAGGCTGGAAGTGATCGTTATCAAGCCAAGCCACCCCCCACAACAACAGACACCTTGGCATGAATGCTATGTGGCTTAGAGCTGCTGACGGACCATCCAAGCACAAACACCAAGAACTACAGAATTACAGAATGTTCCTTAACATTTTACAGCAAACTTGAGAGCTGTAATAAAAACCCTGTGAAGCCTAGGCTATTGCATGCTTCAGGAAGCAGCAGAAGAAATCATGGCTGAAGTCCTCAGCTCCTGTATTTTCAAAATCTCTGTTAATTACATTTCCCTAGGAATCAGAAAACATTTCACTCCATGCAGAGAGGCAAAAAATTCCTACAGGTCCTTGTCAATGTAAACATGGGGAAAATTTTTTTCTTAACACCTATACTCCACAGATTAAATCTGACTGTGAGAATTTAATTACATTGTATAGATCTGGACAAATTCTGACACTGTACCACCTTTCTATCCATGGACTTTCTATGTCTTGTCTTGGTATTTCATTGCTGATCCTTTAACCATATGCTCTGCTAATAGTTATCTTTACCCCAGTTCTCTGTACTTCATCATTTACTGATCTGATGGACATTGAATCATTCAAGAAAGATGAAGACAACAGTGACACTGTAGCCATTTAAACCGACAGGATAATGCTCATACCAGAAGACTGACACTGGGGCTTTTAGCCTCACTGATGCTGGGGTTTGCATAAGATGAAAACCTAGACAGAAGTGATGTGTTCCCAAAAACAGCTGAAAATCTGCCCTCTGAAAGGCAGCTCCTCTGCAATTTTGACAGTCCTGCTCCATTTCCATCTGCCACATTGCAGATACTGTTCTGTATTTATATTGTATGTACTTCAAGTCCCTGCACACCTCTCCGTCTATTATGTTAACTACCACTGCAAAACTGCTCTGTTATCTGTCATATTGCTTATCGTTGCACTTTTCATGAATATAACCTTAATGAACAAAGGGGTATGGCTTTACTTTAAAGGAACGTTTTGGAAAATAAAAAAAATTATCTTCAACACCAAATTTTAAGTCAAGGAGGAACAAATTGCTTCCTGGCCCATATTGATTGCCAGCAGAAACCCTGAAACATCAGATTAACACTTTTTGCAGTAATTTGTATTGAATTCTTACTGTGCTTTCCCTGGTTGATATTCTTTCATCAGTCTTCATAACCGAGAACTGCATATCACTGGGATCTGAGCTCACTGAGGTCTGCAAGAAAGAAGTTCAGATTGAGAAATCAACAGTTAATGTAGCAAATACGAATGAAAAGTAATTGCGTTATTCCTGCCCTGTACATTTTAGTGTTAGAGATAGATAGAGTTGTTACTGCATTTAGTACCAAAACTAAGAAAAAAGCTGGAGAAAATGTGGCTTCAGTTTGGATCATAATGACACATTATCGTGGAATATACTAAAAAAGTATCTAGGAAACAGAAATACAAATCCAAATAGAGAAGGAAAGATCCAAATGAGGAAGAAGACTTTCAGGATGATATTATACAGACAGTACTAACTGAAGCTGTACAAACAAGGTCACTTCAATGCAAATTCATAGAAGGAAGACCAAGAATAAGTCATACAGGTTAAATACTTACAATGCACATTAATATGGACATACCTGATCTTGTTTAGTTAGTGATACCAATCTAGTTGCTTTTGTAGTTGATATGAGATTACAAAACCTCATAAACAAGACTTGCTTAGGACTCTGCTGTTTCATCTACGCTATTTTTACTACCTAAGAGCCAGCTAGTTTAAAGCACAGACTCACCCTAATAAATTTATTAGGGTATACTTCTCCAGTTGTGATCTTCAGACATAAAGATGGAAGCATATGAAATGAACTATGAAAGATTTGTTCTTTGATAATCTTGAGTAAAACACTGTTCATTAAAGTTTAAAGAGTGAATTATATTCATCTGCATATTATGCAGTAACTGTCATTGCTCAGAAGGACTATGATGTATGTAAACAAACAGAATGCTTGGTTATTTAATCTGAGTATACTTGGAGGAAGCACTGGGATCAGCCTCTCAATGCAGTGAAGGTCCAGCCTAGGAATAATCCCTGCAGATAAGAGGCAAGATCTTTCTTTAACCAATCTAAAGCAAAACTAACACTAAAAGTACTTCCTGGAGACCTTATAAACAATCATGTGAGAGCTGTCCTCCGCTGCTACTGGGGAAGTCAACCTAAGACTGCACTTATAGGATCCTCTTGTAACAGATAGAGGTCAGGATCAAGGATGACAGAAGCATTTTTAGGCAGGACCACAGCAGAACTGCAGAGACTCTAGTATCATAAATCACGTCGCATAACACAGAGGCTCAGATGTTTAGATATGCCCTCATCCTACATGAGGTTTCCCAAAGGCTCCTTGTTCTTGAAAGCAGAGGGACTGAAAAGGCTTAAACTCCCACAGGTCCCAGCTTTCACAGGAACCAGGAGTATTAATGTATGCCTTAAAATCAAATGAGGGTTATAAATACTACCTGTCTTATAGTATCCCCTTCCTGATTGCTTATAGTAATCATTTTGTCTTCACCGCCCAGAGCCAGAAGGTTTTCAGTACTCCAACAACCACAAGTAATCCGCTTAGTGTGCTTACCTGAAAAAGAAAGAAACCTATACAACACAAATGAACACAACCATACAACCATCCAGGATGGAAATATGCTTTATTTGGCTATTCAAACAAATTGTCAGTAATTTTTTTTTTAATAAAATCTTCTACTCCCAGATGGAAGTCTTTTGACCTTATATGAACTTGCACAGCCCCTGTTCTTCCATTTATTTGCATCAAATTTCTGGGGACTGTGCTATATCCTTAATGTTTCTGCCCAGAGGTAATTCAAAGCAGGCAAGAAAAAGTAACTTAGCAACAAGAACAACCACACAAATCCTTTTCAAGAAAGACAACACAAATCTCCCATGAGGCAGTATCAGGTATGTATGTATATTTTTAAATTACTATACTGTAAAAACACTCTGGTAAGTACAACAAAACAGAAGGTGCAAGGTAAGTGTGAGTACATCTTTGACTTGCATGTTCACATACAGAACTAAAAAGGAATCTAAGTATAATAGCAAAATTCTGCTATCACATGTGCAAGCTTAGTTTCAAACCAATGCATACCAAGAACAGGAATCTTGCGAGAAGTCTGACGATTATATATAAGTAAGTTTCCCTTTGTTGTTCCAACAGCAAGTAAAGTTCCAACTCGAGACCATAATAAGAAAGACATTGCATCCCTAAAATGAAGAAAAATTTTACTTTGTATACTAGAGATTTCTTTAATGTACCTACATATAAAAATATATTGCTTATTTGTTTTGAAGTTCTATGGAATCACACAGACCAAGCAGAATTTTTAAATTAAACAAATGTTCTCTACAACAAGTACCAGAATTATTTAAGTGTGCATGAAACAGTCAAAGTAATAAAAAGTTGTATGAGGTAACTTAATAAAACTTGTGCAAATGTGTCTGCAAGCATCAACGGTCTTTGATGAAATCATGTTGATTTGGCCAAATATGCAGCTTTAAACAACACTCAGAGATACCATGAAGGTACGTGAAGTTTTCCAGTCACTTTCTCCACTGTTTTTTTGTACTTCAATAATCCTATGAATTCAGCCAACTCCAAGTGAATAGTCAATGTAATAATAAAAATAAGGAGCCATTTTAACTTGAAGTTTCAGATACATCAAGGCCTATTTTGGTGTACGCTATTTTAGGGGTACACAGATAAATACTATACATCACACTTTTAAAAAGCCTCTTAAACAAAACAGTTTTAATCAGAATTTTCTAATTAGTGCAGTTATTTTAATTAACGCCTCTCCCATCTTTTTAAATTTTACTGTAAGCATGCAATAGTAGTTTGAAACAAATTTCAGATGTTGGCACATGAGATGACCTCCTTTATATATTTGGTTTGCATGTGAGGGTTTTTATTTGTGCTTTTTTCATTTCAAAAAGAGGGGGATACCACAAAAGCCTGATTACTACACTGTTTATATGTCTTAGTGCTTATTCTGCTTAAGCAGTAACACTGTAACAAAAGAAGGATTAGGCACTTGAATTGTTATATACTGTTCTAGAGACTGCCTCCAGTAAGCAATTCACCTCAGATATTAGCGAGAAAGATCATGAAGGAACTGCAATAACTGCATACTCCATTCTGGTAAGTACCTTCTATGCTCTTTTTTGCTTGCATACTGGCAATTTACTCTTCTCCACAAAATATTTGTTCACACATGAAAATGAGGTACAATGTAGTCTGTTCCTTCACACATTATAACATGTATATATATCTTCATAAATTGTTTTGATTATATAAATAGCTATAGTTTAAAATTGACCTATGAAGAAAACCCAAACCCCTACTTGGGAAAACTTTAGCAAAAAAAGCATTTTTAATGCCAAAGTTGATGTATTCCACCAGAAAATAAGATTATAAACAAAAAAACATTATAACGTCTGTGCTAAAAATGCATATTGTTGATAATATGTAATAACTAATAATGACAAAAATGTAATGACTAAGAAATAACCAAGTAACCCACAAATACCTAAACAAGATGCCTATATAACGCTACATATAATAAATTAGACAGTAGGAAGAAGTAATCGCTTTAAATTTCTCATCTGTATGTACAATCATTTGCTTGTTTTGAAACTGTTTTCTAACATGTGACTTAACATTCTACCAATAAAATCTTCAAAACATAACTTCATTAAACCATGTATTGGTTAAGTCACTGTGTATTTTGTGCAAAGTGGCAATTCTTTCACTTTTTCAGGAGTGAAATAACTTGTACAGAAGTTATTTTTTGTTTCAGTACAGTTTAAGTTCAGTTTCAATGTACACATACAGGATACCAGGCTGTAACACATGGAAACATCCCGTAATCAAATATCCAACATTCCAACTGCATTTTACAAAACACAGGTGTACATGTCAATGGAAATATGGAATATTTCCATATTCCAGACATGGAGTTTTCAACCTAAATCTGGGAAAAAAGCACCCTCATAGAAACCAACATAATGCCCACACCCCAATTTTTCTAGCTGAACTGAGTTTTTTTCATTTAATGGATAAAACACTCCAATTTTGGTATCTTTGACTATTAAAAAACAAACATACAAACAAACAAAAAACAACCAACCAACCCCCCCCAAACATAGACAAAAGAAATTCAGAAATTAAGGGTTAAATCAGGAGTGTTTGTCTCAACTCAAGTAAATAAAGTAGCAGCAGTATTCAAAATTAGTTGTTTCTCTGCTCAGGTGAGTGCCCTAACAAACATGGGTCAGATTCCTTTCCACTCTCTTTCTTACAGACAGAATGTAGACAGGTTATGTAGAGTGCAATAGTTCAGTGGAATAGATTCAAAGAAGCTAAAAGTTTTACTGTTAATAGAACAATATGTAGGTCTCAGGATAGTTTTAAGTCTGTGGCCAAATTCAGAAAGAGAGGGATTTGAACCTTAAGAGTAGGATTGCCTTAGATATCTTCTCCCATCCTTACACCAGTCTGTTTTGTGAATAGCATTTTAGTCCCCTTCTAATTATAAGGGTAAAAAATCCTAGCACCACTAAAATCACTTTGCTTACTTTTAAGCTTTTACTTGTGTGAAATATATTGGAGAAAGTGTAGCCAGTGCAGATATACAAACAATTCACCCATCCTTGTTGCTATCACAAAGTGGAAACATTGAAGAGAAGTTCTCTGGGGACTCAGCACTGTTGACAGTTAAAAAAGAAACAAAACCCCTGCCAACCACAAAACCCTCACCCACAACAAACACTTCAAAACCATCAAATCATGCAAAAAAGAATTTAGCAACAAACTGTAGCATATTAGTTTAACAGTATATATGCTATGAAGAATCCAATAAAAAGATGACCTTTGCACTATATCCTCCACATCAAAAAGACACTGATCCAAGTCTTCAAATAAACACTTTAAAAAAGATTTTTCTTACCTCATGCCACTGTCTACTTGGCTTGTTTTGTTTGTGTTTGCATCCCACAGAAATATGGCACTAGATTTGTCTGTGATTATTGCTAAAGTATCTCCATCCTTATCCCAGTCCATAGCAACACAGTTACTGAAGAAAAAAAAAAAATGAAGACTTTCACTAATAATGTTAAAATATGTTTGCAAGTGTACAGAAACATCCAGAATTATTCAGCTGAAGTCCCTATCCATCCTTCTCCCTCCCAAGCAAATGTATGACAGATTGTAGATTTACCTGTAAAGTGTACTTTTACAGCAACTGCACCCTTACTCAAATCTCATTGAAATGATAGAGACTGAAAGGAAGGTCATGAAAAGAAGACTGCTACCTACATCCTAGTACTTGAAATACTGCCACCTTGATTTTCAAGAGACAGTGAAAATCCCCTATATCATGATATTTTGTTAGAGGCTATTCAGTGTTGGGATTATTTTTCCAATAGTTTAACAAGCATAATGAAGTTGGACAAGAAACCTATGCAGAAGCAGGAGAAACATCCACTTGCAAATAGTTCCCGGAATGAAGAGGACAGCAGACTTACCCACAAGTCTCTAGTGAATTGGAAACACTGTTGTTTACAACACTATTTTAAAGCACCATATACTGTAGACTAAGAACCGATACCATTTGACACCACTCTTTTCTTTCTAGATAAATAAGTTGATAGTTTCAGATTAAAAAGGTATCTCTGAAAAATTTCACTCTCATTACCACTCAAATGAAAATTCCTAATGTAAGCAATTTCAAAAGTGTTCTACTGAAACACACATAGCTATAAACTAATTCAGTAAGCCTTCAGTTCCAGTTTTTCCTGTCTTTCTTTTTAAAACTGTGCTGGGTTTATGTGTGTGGTGGGATTTTTGGTAGGAAGGGAGGGGGCTACAGCAGCGGCCCCTGTGAGAAGCTTCTGGAAGCTCCCCCAGCTCCAAGTCGGCCCCACCTCTGCACCAAGGCCGAGCCCCATCAGCTGCGCCTCTGAGATAATGTATTTAAGAAGGGACCTGGGAGGAAGAGTTGCAGCAACTGCATGAACACCAAGGTCAGTGGAGGAACTGAGAAAGAAAGGAGCGGGGAGGTGTGCTGGAGCAGAGACCCCCCTGTATCCTGTGGTGAGATGGCAGGGCGGCCCCCCCTGCCACCCACAGAGGTCTATGGTGGAGCAGACACTGACATACGGCCTGTGGGGGGGTCCCACACAGAAATTTAAGGTGATTGTGCCTGAAGGTGGCCAGGATCCTGTGGGGAAGAAGCAGCCCCCACTGTTGTAGTTTGGCGCTGGGAGGATTGCAGCATGTGGGGGTGTCCCATGCTGGAGCAGCTCGGGAAGGGCTGCATCCCGTGGGAGGGATTCCATTTGGAGAGTTTATGGAGGACTGTCTCCTGCGAGAGGGGGACCACGATGGAGCAGGGGGAGAAGTTCTAGAAGCTTCCTTCCCCAGCCCAAGATGGAAGAAGCGGCAGCACTCAATGCACCCCCCCCATTCCCTGCCCCTGTGCTGCTGGGGGAGGAGGTAGAGATATCGGGAGCAGAGCTGAGCCCGGGAAAAAGGGAGGGGTGGAGGGAAAATGTTTTCAAGATGTGGTAATACTTCTCACTGTCCTACTCTGTTTGTTAAGTGTTGTTGTTGTTAGCATCTGTAATAAATTTATGGGTTCTTTTTCTTCCCCTAACAAGTCTGTCTTTTGCCCACGACTGTAATGGGTGAGTCATTCCTTCCTGTCCTTATCTTGAATCCCGGGCTTTTACTTATTTTCTCCTTCTCAGCGCCTGGGGGGAAAGGGGGGAGTGAGTGGATGTGTGGTGCTCAGTTGCCCTCTGAGCTCAAACCACAACAGTTTCCCTGAAGGAAAGGATCACATCTGTCCATCAATATGGTAGTGCTATCAGTGTCCATCAGAAAGGTAGACTCCCCTTCACACCATCCTCACCAACCCATATGACAGTGGAGGAAACCCAGAGTCCAACACAAGCTCTGAAAAGAGTTCACCACTGATTCCACAGAGCTTTCCTCACTTTTGGCAGTTTGCTGGAAAGAATGAGCATTTACTATCCATTGTGCAAAACAGCAGTGCAGAATGAACTGGGCCATGGATACTACCAAGCAAGACTCTGACGTAGCCATCCTGAATTATAAATGGCACCTAACCAGAACAGGATTTTGAAATAAGACAGCAAGATGCGATGGTCAGTGAGATACAAGCGAGTTTGGTAAAGACAATGAGAATTGCACCTCTTGATTTGATGCAAGGTAGCAACTACCATGAACTGCAAAAACTGGATTTCTAGAGAGTTCTTGGGGAGCTGAGTGATTCTGGCTCATATCTACCAACTATACAGGGATATATAAGTCACATTCTAGAAATGGAAGTTAGACTTCCAGATTAAAGGCTTACAATTTTTTCCTTGACTAAGGGTTCCACCTGAATCAAAATTAATCAGGTCCTTAGAAACAGAATACAAAAATCAGGAATTTGCATGAGTACTTAGGCTAGGAGCAGGTAAAATACTAAAAAGAAACGAAGAGTACACAGATGAAACTATTGCTACATCAGGTAGTAATGGTGCCCAATTAAAGTAGATTTATAGAGCAATATGGTATGATGACCTGATATCACAGTGTTTGCACCTAGGGAGGTTTCTTCTGGGCCATATCTAGCCTGTTCCTATGTACTGAATGCCTTCTAGCAGTTAGACTGCATCTTCCAAAGCACACTACTTTTTAAATTTCATCTGGAAGAAATCCAGTTTGTACACTCCAACACCACTCTCTAGTGTTAACCAAAGTGTTATAAGAAGGAAAAACAGTGAGATACACTCTCAATATAAAGTAAAAATGTTAATTTATATATTATGCCAGCAACATCAAGAAAAGCACTAAACTGAAAGGGTATCTTTCTTCAGTAAGACTACGATAACAAATTACTAGAAAACCGAAAGCAGCGAGAATGCAGTTGTAATCAGCATGACGTGAATACGTTGTATACAATCTCATTATGTTCCTTCTTAATATGACAGATCTTCTCCTAACGTTTCAGTGAAGTAGACTGAGTTTATTACTAATAAAGAGTGTTTTGGGTAGGAGAACGTATTTTTCTGACTATCCTTGCTAGCTTACTATGAATTCAGCTTCTACTATCTCAGATTCCATACATGCTCACCAGTTTGTCTTCTTTTCCAGGTATGTTCATCAAAGATAGTATCTTTTCCTACAAATTTCTCACACTGTATAAGCACCTCAGCAGAAAAAAAGCATTTTTAAAGAAAACAACAAAGGAAATAATTTAAATCCATCTTAGTACCTACCTTGGTAAGCTGATTTCATTTTTCTTCTGACCATGACGATCAAAAATTGTCACAGCACGATCACCTCTAAAAAAGATTAACATATAGGATAATTCTCTTACTTCATCAGTGATTTATATGGACAAATACAATAAGTATTTGTAATCTTACCCTGTTACAGCAAGGAAATTTCCCAAAGTTTTCTGCCAAGCAAACTGCACAGGGGAACCAGACCAAGCTTTTTCTAACAGACTGAATACTTGCTGGGAGACAAAAAAAAAAAAAAAAAAGTGGGAAATTAGGAATCTTAATGTCATTAGCATGTAGCAATAAACAACTTCTTAACATGTTAGCAACTGTACCATGGAGTAAAAAAAAAAAAAAAAAAAGAAAAAAGAACTAAAGCACAACTTTTGAGTGTTTCTAATGCACCAAAGTACCAAAATTCCACAGAATAATCTTTTTGTTTGTGCTGGAAAAATTGAAGTTTCTGGTGCTGGGTGTCTGTGACTCTATCCCAACTATTTTTTTTTATCTTACAAAGTTACTGAAATAAAAAAATTGCATGAGACTGTCCCCTTCATGTCCAAAGACCAGAATGTTTAGTTCTCTAAATTTCATGGAAAAGTTTGGGACCAGAAAGCATTTTCAGTGTGTAAAACATAGAAGGCTCAACATCCAAGCTTTTAAAGATATGTAACTACTTTGTCCTCTCTGAATTGTTTGGTTTCAAAAGCTAAGACCTCAAAGCTACTGAACTATAAAAGGAGTTCTCAGCCTCCAGTTAAGAAAGTTTCCCAAATTCCTTTTCCTTGCACACTACCTACACAGATTTTTGTATAGCTTGGGTGTAAAACAACGCCCACAACTTTGTTTCACAGCTTGCTATAACGACCTCTTCCCTCCCACGTCATCAGATAAACACCAACACCTGGTGCCCACCAAATGCCTGGCAGGTTTACTCAATTCTTTGCCAAAGGCTCCCCATCCCTTCTTCTGGGTGAACATAAACTGAGGCATTCTTGAACGTAATTCACATTTTACTCACAAAAAGTGCAAAACTACAAGCACTACGTGCCACGAGCACAAAGAACATCTGACAATTATGTTTTATTTTGAAAAAAAACTTTAATAAAATCTGTAATAAACAAACAATAAAAGAAGCTCCAGCCCTTCATGCTCTCACTGTACAGTAACGCATAAACTAAAAGCCTCCACGGGATTTTAGGAAACTTTCCTTTCGGCCTAACCAATTAACCGCTGCCCGAGGAGGGTCCCTCGCACCCCTCTCGGCTGTCAGAGCCAGCGCTTGGGCACAGCGACGGGAGACCAGCCTGGAGCCGGCGCCTCCCGCGGCCCGTTCCCGGAGCCGGCGGCGGGAAGGGCCCCGGCTCCCCTCAGGCAGCCCTGCCCGTGGCGTCAGGCCGCCGCTGGCTGGAGGCAGGCAGGAGCGGGAATTCCTCGCCGTGCCCCCCTTCCCCCCCCATCCCCACCCCATCGCAGGCAGGTAGCGGCCCGCACCGCTGAGCGGGAGCCATAGCCCCGCCGCGCCCCCCCCCCCCCCCCTCAAGGCGTACGGCGGCCGAAGGGACTCACCTTCATCTCGCCCACCGCTCGCCGCCCAGCGCCCCCCCCACCCCGCGCATGCGCCGCCCCCCCCGCCCCCGGCCGCTCGGCCCCGCCCCGCCCCCGGCGTCGCTGTCACCCCGGAGACGGAGAGGGCGGGGCCCCCGCCCCGCAGCCAATGGGGCGGAGGAAGCGGAGGCGAAGGGCGGGGGGGGGGGGCAGGCCTGGGAAGGCGCGCGTGCGGGCACACAAAATGGACGGTTAAAGCGAGAGAAAAAAAGGTGCTGACGCCAACGACGCTGCGTTTCAGTTTAGCTGTATTCAACTGCAATCAGTGCAGGTTTCATCACAAAGTTTCACTGCTTAGTAATTTCTTCTAAAACAATAAATAGTTCACTGAGAGCATTAACACGGTTAAAATTACAAATGTACAAAGACTTTGGGTATCGGACGCTTCAAACTTTTGAAAAACATTCAATGCGTTCACGTATTCCCCTTTTCCATCGCAAACACACATCTACTGTTTTGAAAACAAGGAACAAGGCACAGAAAAGCAAATACAAAAAGACTTTGAGAACATTCAGACTGTTCAAAACAATTCTGGGTAACAGCATAGGGCTCAGGAGGCAAATTAGAAAGTATCCGAAAAATTGAGACAACTGTTAAATAATGTAACTAATTTGATATAATCCTGCGAGGCACATGTAACTCTCCTGTAAAACGCCGAATGTGCTTAAATGGTGGCAATTAAGCATCTTGCAGGACCAGACCCTTTACATTTTGAAGTAACATTACTAGACAGACAGACAGACAATAGTTTCATTTCATTTTACAAAATTATACTTTTCAAATTAGTGCAAAGCCTCAAGTAAAAATGGAATTAGTCTAGATGTAATGGAATGCTTTAAATGTTCCAAAGTGCAAATATTAAATTGGTTAACTTCAAATCACGCTTCAGGATTCTTTCAATAACTCATGCTTATTGATTTTTCCTTAAAAATAACAAAGTAAATATAAGAACCAAAGTAGAGCAAAAGGTATGATGTTCTGCATCTCACAAAAACTTTGAAAATCCAAAAAGTACACTGGATATCAAAAATCTCTGGCAGAAATTATTAAATAGCAGATTTCTGTTAGCATAAGAAGACAATATTTAAAATAAGGCTTTGGTTAAATAAAAAGTTTTCTAAACTAGGAATGATGACAAAAGTGCAAAAGATTCACCAAATACACAACTTCGTTTCCAAGGCAGGCATTATGCCTGCCATTTACAATGGTTTGCATTGGTTTGTCAGCCTGCATTATAATAGCTCAGATACCTGTAGCCAAACATGTTTATTATAGGTAAATTAAATATTTGGAATCCAGTCCTCTAACTTGTTTCATCCAGAGACAGACTCAATTGTATCAGTGGAAGTATATCCATTTATAGCATCATTCCTCTGCATATTTGGGGGGATCAAGGCCCTGGCTTTGTAACATTTGATTATTATAGTGAGTTCACTCATGAGTTTACTCATTTCTTAGCACTTCCTAAACAGAAGTCCTATGCTAGCAGCTGGCTGGTTGCAGCTTGTTTTCTTACAATTAAAATTCTTGTAACATATGGGTAATAAAGATGATTTTTTAAGATGTGCTTAATATTGGTCTGTAAGAACAACATGTACATGTTAGCTTGAGACCAAACACTTTGCTGTGGTAGACACCCTGCACCTGGTGTTTATTGGTGCACTGGTAATTTGCTTGAGGAAAAAAGAAACCATCTGAGTCTATGGAGGAGAATGTCACCTTTGTAGAGAAAAAATTTACAGTTTTACAGTCACAACACATGCTCCAGCTCTTCCCAAGCACAATGGTGCAACCTGTAAGCAAAAAAACACACAAAAAAAATCCATGAGATAAATGCAGTCAGCCTTAAGTATTTTTTCTTCCCCTTAAAATGGACAGTATTTAGTTAATTCTTGGAATAATAGTTGTACAGCTACACAAGAGTGACAATATCATCTGCACTCTGTTAGCATGACTTTAAAAAAAATAGCAAATTGTTCCAAAACTTGGATACAAACCCAAAACAAAGGTGAAGATATTTGTATGAGAGAGTGAAGCGCTTTGAAAGCAATATCAATCTCCAAGAATATGAAACAATTCTTATTGATAATTTCAATCACTTGGTATTACAGGAAAAAGAATCCTTCCTTATGGTACAAACTGAATACCTGAGCTACGCAGTCTGACACCTGAGTAATGGTTGGCAAAATGATGCATTTTTCTCTCAAACAGAGAATACCAAACATGACAGGCACAACCTCTCCTTTTTACTTGAATATTTGACAAAATCCTGTTAGAGTTCTTGGAATCAGAGTAATTTCCCACTTCTGTAAATAGAAGTTACTTCTGGCAAGACCCTTTTCTGCTGAGATTCTGTTGGGCTTGAGAAAGGTAGTTTCTAACATTCACCTTAGCTTCCCCTTTTAAACTTCACAGTATTGGAGTGTACATGAATACTACACTAAGTGCTACAGAGATTATTCTGAAGACAAAAAAGAATGTTTATGACAACTCCCCTAATTCTTTTTTTCCCCAAAAAACAACAGACTGTGGCTCTGACAAACCTCAGTTGAGAAAATTCTACTACCCTCTTTTGAATTGTATGTGGATTAAGTGGTGGCAGACTGCTGACATAACAAGAGAAGGAAGGTACACAGACACTTCCACTTCCCTCTAGAAAGTGTTCAAAACTGTCCTATATACTGGGATCACAAGAGTCAGTGAGATATAGAGTGTTAAAGCTAAGGATACAAAGGTACATACAGTTGGTCACCACCTAGACATCATACAAGATTCATTTAGATGCAATGGTGAGAAGCACTGTTTCTCTCCTCTGGTACACTTTTTTTCTTTAGCAGGACAAATAATGCCATGGGTTATCATTACAAGTACTGCCACTGAGGGCCCCAAGCTCTGATGAACCTCCTAGATGACTTATGTTTTAAGATCTTGCAGCAGTATGAAGTGGGGGGAAATGGACAGCTCAGTTTTCTGTGCTACAGAGATTCTGACAGAAAGCAGTTTAGTTCTCTTTTTGAATTAGAGATTTGGGGCTATTACTGGGTTAGCATATTCAGGAGGTCAGAATTCAGCTGCCTAAATACTGGTGTCTAATGCTATTCTAAATGAACTTGGACATTCAGCCTGGCCTGCAGCTGAACTCCAGAAGGGCCTTGGTCTCCCACAGATACCGTACTATATCTGCCAGCCTTCTGTGGATGTAGAGACTTCAAGGTATCTCAAATGGCAGTAGATAACAAAGGACTGCCTGATCAGGATGTCCTTATGTGTGCTCTTCCCACACAGGCACACATTCCTGGAGCTATAAAAAAGTAAAAGTAACTAAACTTTGAATTTACAGTAATGGTTTCTGATCAGGAATTGATTTTTTTTTTTTTTTTTTGAGCCGGGTAAAGAGAAATTTGAAAAGGCTTCCTGAAAGTTGCACACACTGTACATACCATTCATATCAGGAAGGGATAATTTATGAGAAGATGACCAAAACCTTGAAGAAATTTATAAACATGCCGAGACACACATTAGAGCTAAAAACTAACTTATAATTTATCTCAGAATAGAAAGTCATGGAAACAGAAACCTTTATGACAGTTTGGGGAACTTGTCAATACATGTTATTAACAGTAGTCGAAATTGTCAAAGAAAATAGCTATAGTCTTGCCAAAGACAGAAGGGCAGTTTACTAAAAGTTAACAACTGTCTGTTCAAGATAAATCATCTCGAGATGGTGAACAAAGAAGAAAGACACTTACAGCAGACTAGTAAGAAAGTGCTTCTTAGAGAAGTATTTGAATTATCCTTATAAAAAGAGGCACACTTCAAATAACAAGATAAATAGTAGTGTATGGTCTGATCAGAAACTATACCTGTGTCCATTCATTTGTCTGGGGATCATAAGACTCCACTGTATTAAGGTATGTTTGACCATCATATCCTCCAACAGCATACAACTTGTCACCAAGAAGACATACTCCCACTGCATCTCTGCTAATGCTCATAGAGGCCACTGCAGTCCACATATCTGTTTTTGGATCATACCTAAAAGATAATTTGTGTTATGCTCTAAAACTGTTGCCAAAATTCAACAGGAAAAAAGTACCAAAATTAATGCTCTCAAGGCACTAGAGAACAGGTACTATTAGGCAGCACAGATTTGGTTGTTAATTTCAAAAGACTTTTTCCCCCAGATACTCTGAAAATGTTTCTTTAGTCATCTGGTAATACAGTCAGTACTAGCTATGTATCTACTTAGTGCTGCTTTCCATATAGTAATACATAATATACATACAGCTGCTCTAAATACATTTCTTACTGTATGTCTAAACGTACCACTCCAGAAATAGTTCTGCTGCTACACTGTAGTAGAGCAAGTGCTTGCTCTAAATTATAACTACTACATATCAAAGCACAGGCTGTTAAAGTTGTATGTGGTACTAAAGAGAGTTAGTTGCCATGAAAGATAACCATTAAAAAAAAAAAAAAAAAAACACCAAAACCAAAAACAACCAGAAAACATTTTGAGAAAATTCTGGGGGAAATGCAAAACGCTTAAGACAGTTTACAGCACTTCTTTATTCATAGTTCCATATCATCAGAAACATCAGCATAGTAAAAGACAGATTGTTTAATGAAAAACATTAAATGTGATTCTAGAATAATATAACTTTCTTTACAAGTCAAACTGAGAACTACATAGGAGAGTTCATACTATTCTTATGTCAAGGAACATATTTTAAATTGACTGAAACAGACAATGTTAAGATTACAGATGATTACAACAAACCCAATGTAATCATAGATCTCTGAAGGGCTCTGAAGAACTATACAAAGTAAATATTTATTTGGCTAAGAGACCATCCTGAGATCACACTTGCTAAAAGCAAGTTTGGAAGACACTAGTCTTAATTTACTTGAATTGCATGAAGAACACAGATATAATGAACTCTAACAATTTTATCTGTAGTTCTCTCGTCAAAGTATTATAGAAATGAATGCAAGCAT